CCCCCTTCGCCCTTGCCTCCCACACGCCATCCCGTGCAGCAAAGGAGCCCGAGCCAGTGGTGCCAAAGCAGCGATCTGTGGCCGATATCAAAGCAGCACACAACTACAAATCGAAGCTCGTGAGTGCTAGGCACTTTCCCCACAGATTCGGCTTCACCGTGATATCCATTTTGACAGTGCTGTCTCGCATCTTGTAACATGTCTGTGTTTCCCTTGGGGTCTTCTTCCAGGTCAATGCCGTCTTAATTTGTTGCTCCACGTTTTGCTCATGTCTCTGGCCTACTCCTCATCTCTCTCACCGGCTTCTCATGTCTCTCTCACCTTCCTCATACCATGTCTCGCCTGTCCCACATGTGTCTCATGCAGCCACCTGCTGGCTCAGCAGGGGCTGCAGCAGCTGATGCAAGGAACAAGCTGGTGGAACGAGGAGAGAAGATCAGTGTACGTTGTTTCCCTAGCTCTCTCTTCCAACTCCTCCCTCCACCGCTTCTGTTTCTCTGTTGTCTACCGGCCGACATTTCCTTCACTTTCCAGCTCTCTCTCACGTCTCTCTTCCCATGTCAAATTCGCTAATGTCTTACTCCAATGCTTGCATGGCAGAAACTGAACGATATGGCGGATGAGCTGGAGGCGGATACAGCTGAGTTCAGTGACTTGGCAACACAGCTCAAAAAGAAGATGGAGAAGAAGTGGTGGTGACTTGCCCGTCTTAGGTGATATGCCTTGTGTTTTTACGGTTGTGTTGCTCCTAGTGGGAAATGTTGCTCTGTATAGATGCTCTATAGGGGGTCGTTATTTATGAAACATGACACTTGCTGGATGTTGCAGCAACTCATTTATGGAGACCTGTGCAGTGCACCCTGATTTTTCACATTTCCCATCACTACGTGTGAAATTTCTGAATATTGGGAAAATAGGTTCCAAATTCCAATATCCGCCTTCACAATTCCAATCAAATTGCTCTACTATGAAATCGTACAATGTGATCGTTTCAACGCAGATCCCCGGTGTCACGGTGTCAGGTGGACAGGAGCATGACGTGGCCAGCATGGCAGAGCCCCACCGAAATCCTGAGAACAGCGGGTTACAGCATTCAACGGTTCGACTCCCCCTCCCTACACGCACATTCGACCAAGCTGAAGCATTTCATTTGGTGTTGCGTGAGAAGCAAAGCATCCAGCCCAGCCCTCCTCCGTCGATTGCTTGCGTTCCTGCTCTCTGGTCCTCCGTGACACAAACGGGATTGAAGCAACACACACCCTGCTCCCTGCTCTTGCTCTGTTCCACCCGCTGGATTGAGTAATTCTGGATTCAGACAACATTGGACGTTGTACCAACAAGAAGCTGCATTGTCCCAAAAAATCAGGCCTGAAAGCTCCCGTTGTGATCTATCTTGTTTCCTAGTCTTATCAGATTCCTCTCCTAAGGTAGTCTCACAAGAGTAGGGATTTGTCTCCAAGATTAGAATTCGAGCCTTCGCAGGTCAGCATTAGGACATGTCTTCCACAAGCATCCATTCTCTCCCTGACGATGCTCTTGTCAGGATCTTTTGGTATTCTGATGCTTTGCGGCCGACTTCATCGTCTCTCTCCGATTACGCTAATCAAGGGGACGAACCAGATTCAGGACCTGATCCGCATTTTACGACGCCTCCAGCCTCTGCCAATGTCGCACATGCTCTCCTCATCGCCTCTGTGTGCCGTCGCTGGCGGGAGCTTGCACACGAATCCGTCACAACGCTTCACGTTTTACAAGACCGTCTGGTCTCTCGCCAGGATCTGAAACGCGTTTTGGTGCTCTTCCCAAATCTCTCTCGACTGCACTTGAGCAACGGAAGCATGGAAATGATCGACAACGATTTTCTAGCCTTTCTCGCCTCTTCCTTTTTGAAGCTAACTGTTCTTTATGTCGGCCCAGGCATTGCTTTCGACGAAGTCCTCAAGTATGACGAGGAACCGACGACTTCCATTGACGATTCGGACCACCCCGTCACTGCACCTGGCCTGGATTGTCTCTTCCGCCATTGTCGTCGCTTGGAGCAGCTGTCACTGCAGTGTCTTCATCGGGCAACAAAGCTTCCTTCTTCCTTCTTCCAGTTGACGCACCTGCACACCCTGTCACTGGGGGGAATATCGATTTTGGAGGTTCCCAACTTCGCCGATTTATTTTCTCTCAGGAATCTTTCGATCCAGACGTTGGACATGAAGTTGGACATGCGACTGCATCAGATGTCGCCATTAACGAGCCTTCCTAATCTGACCAGCCTGTTCTTTCCAGGAGAGACATCGTTCCACGATTTTGAAGGGAATTTCTCATTTGGCCAACTGTCGACGCTTCGTTCGCTGGGATTCGTGCACGGGTCGACGGATTTCCCTTCGATGTTTCCGTCGGAATTACCGTGCTTCCGCCTTCAACGTCTGCTGCTAAGCCATGTCCCGAACACCTTACCTGAGGATCTTGGCGAACGATTCCCGGCACTTATTGAACTCTGCCTTTCCAAAAGCCGCGATTTGACTGAGCTGCCGGATTCCCTCACACGCATCAGCACCTTGGAGATTCTCACAATTTCCTACTGCGGTATATCCAGCCTACCTGAAAATCTTGGAAATCTTTCAAGGCTGAAGTCCATAGTGTTGAGAAGCTGGACGCTGAGGAAACTTCCTGATTCTATTGGGTTACTCACCGGGCTTCAGAAGCTGTTCATGGACTGTGGGAGCATTGACATCCTCCCTGCAGCAATTTCCTGCTTGACTGCTCTTCAATCGTTGAGCATCAGGGGGTTAAAGGTGACTTCAATCCCGGAGGAGATAGGCGAGTTGAGCAGCCTCCGCTTTTTGGTGCTGAACAGATGTGCCTCCCTGCAGCAGCTGCCGTCGTCATTCAGTCGTCTCTCTTCTCTAACACGGCTTGATATCACGGACTGTCCCATCATTCACCTTCCAGAGGGTACAGGCCAGCTGAGTGACCTGCGAGAGTTGACCTTGAGCTGGTGCAAGGAGTTGACAGAACTGCCAGAATCCATCACTCAGCTGAGCCGCCTACAGACTCTCAAGGCTCAGAAATGTTACAAACTCGCTTCTGCACCGCGAGCCATGGGATACCTTTCATGCCTGCGGGAGCTGGATCTGACGGGTTGTGATCTCTCAAAGGAACCTTTAGAATCTTTGCCACGGTCGCTGGAAACCTTGAGCTTGGGAAATGACACCAGCAGCTTCATCCTGCCTGACATGTCATCGACCTCAAATCTGAAGATTTTGAGGTTAACTCAGGTTACTATCATGGACGTACCAGCCAGCAGCCGTTGCCTCTCTCGAATTGAGCACCTGGAGATGCGCCTCAGCTCTGAACAAACCGAGTTTCCACTCTTCCTCCGGTTCCTTTCATCCCTCCGCGTTCTTCACATCTCATGTGCCAAGTCTCTGCAACACCTGCCTCATGATATCGGCTTTGTTCTGCCTCAGCTGCGGCAGCTGCACGTGGAAGGGGCGGAATCGCTGCTGGAGATTCCAGAGAGTGTATCATGCCTTGTGCAACTCAGATCTCTTCATCTTGAAGCTTCCAGTCTGACTCATCTTCCGGAAACCCTTTCTGTCTTATCACGACTGGGTGATCTCAGCCTGCATAGTTGCTCCTCCCTGACAAGCCTTCCCTGCTCTATCACCGCCCTCACCTACCTGCACAGATTGGATGTTAGCAATACGTCGCTTCACTTCCTCCCTCCCAACCTCCACCATCTGGCGAGGCTGAGGGAGCTGGATCTGAGTGGCTGTGAGCAGCTTCAGTCCCTGCCATCACAAGAGCTGCGGTACATGACGATGCTGCGAGAGCTGCATGTCCATGGCTGCACGACGCTTGGCCCAGAACCAGTTCCGACCGATCTTTCCGAGAGGCATGGCCTCATGTCGCACCAGGACTACCATCCCGATACATGGTGGTAGGCTCCATCAGGTTGTTTGAGGGTGCAGCTTTGTAGATAGCTGCCATGTTGAGTCATAAGCATAGGCCATGCAGCTGTTTTGCATGAGCGTCCTTCGTGTAGGTCATGGACATGCATTGAATTTGAAATACCGGTATGTACTTAAAAACGTTTTTTGTTTCTTTTCATATCTGCAAATGACAGGTATTGTACCGCTTATTCAGTATGTTTTTGTGGCTGAAAATTTTATTGGGGCATTTTGTTCCAAAATGTTTGTCTTCCACAGCAGGGCATGGTGAAAACTAGAAAGAAACTGCCTTTGTGTCAGGAGGATAACCAACCAGCTTGTGTTTTGGCACAATATTAGTAATCAACAAAGGACAAAAAGCTGTAGTCCCAACTCCAATTGCTGCTGCGGCTGCAGGGTGATTCCTCCTGTGCTGCGGCTGCAGGGTGATTCCTCCTGTGCTACGGCTGCTGGGTTTGCCATCAGGGAGTGCAGGTCTGCTGGTGGTGTTGGAAGCAAACAGGCACTCGTGTGGCGGCGGGTAAACACGCTCTCCGGCAGCATGAGAGTGCTCTGCACGTTGCATGATGCCTTGTGAATGCTGGGGAGGTAAGTGAGAGTGATATCGCTGCTGCTGTTGATGGTGCTGCTGATGATGCATGTCGCACGGCTGGTGCTGCTGATTCTAGCATACAACACGAGGCTGTATGTATGCGCCTTCCTCCACCTTCAATCCCAGTTACTGCTGCTGCCGGTGCTCCAGCTGCTGCAGGGTGGCTCCTCTCGTGCTGTGCAATAGTGTGCCACGCTGGTTGTCGCTGCCATCATTGATGTAGCAGCCGCAGTCAGAGGGACATGGCGTGCCTCTGATGGCTCTATCCCTGACAATGGAGTACAGCTGTTGCAACTCCAGATGCCTGGTGCTTGATTGGTCGTTTGAACCTTGTTGTGAGATAGTTGTGAGTTACGGTAATAATTTTAATAAGGATGGCAATTTGCTGGATGGAGGATGGGAATTCCTTATAACAGGCACCGCAGGCGAGGAGGCACGTGACATGACATGCCATGCCATGCCCATCACAAGAGCTTTTCCAGTCCAAACACGAGACCCTGCAGATATGCAGAGAAGAAAAGGGTAAAGAGGGTTGAGGCGGGGGTGAGGAAGTGAGAGGTGGGGAAATGGAATCGTCATGCAGCAGGGAATGCGTCAATGCGAGTGATTGCAGATTGGTGGGTTCGTGGGGTGGAGTGAAAGAGGGACGATTTAAGTAGACATGGAAAGATTTATCAGAAATCTAGAAAAGGAGATTGTGTGACAGAGTGGGTGGCATGTCAAGAGGGGAGGTTGGGGGCGGGGGTTGGGGTGAGTTGGGGTGAGTTGGGGTGAGTTGGGGTGGGGTGGGGTGGGGTGGGGTGCGGAGGCACGTTGAGAAAAGAAAGCACCAATATCATAGAAGAGAGGTACGAGGTAAACGAGGCAGATGCGGGAAAACAGGGACTTTTGAGTCGACTCAGATGTCATCAATATCATGGATGACAGGTACGCGGTAAACAATTTTTAGGCGCCTCAAAAAGAGGTACGCGGTAATCGAGGAGGATGCGGGAGAGCAGCAGCAGTGCAGAAGAGAGGGGTTGAGAGGCATTTTCTGACCTTCAACCTGGGGGCTCGTCTGATGGCGAGCAGTAGACCAGACCAGGCATGTAGACTTTTGAGTCAACTCAAAATTCATATAACAAAAGAGGTGCAAGGTAAACGAGGCGGACGCGGGAAAGCAGCAGTGCAGAAGAGAGGATGAGAGGCAGTTTCTGACCTTCAACCTGGGAGCTCGTCTGATGGCGAGCAGTAGACCAGGTATGTACGCTGCATGTGATGTGATGTCCAGGCGGAGTGATGCCGTCTGTGTTGTCATGCCACATGCCATGCCACATGCCATCCACACGCAGCATCACAGAAGGGGGATGAGATTTAGAAGGAGTGGGGGCAGGAGTGGCGCGTATGGAATGTGCGGGGCATGGGCGGCATGTGTGGCATGCACGAACAGGCACGAACAGGCACGAACAGGCAAGGACATGAGGACCTACCTGTCCGTTGCTCCCAAACCGCACATCAGTGCTCTGCAGCAGCCCTGGCTGCTGCATGCTGTGCACCCTCACCCCCTCCTCCATAAGCAGGCCCCGAGCCTGCTCAAGCACAGGAGTGGCATCAAAACGAGTGGCACGGTGATGAGTGGCACGGAAATGGCAGTACGAGTGTAAACCCTCACCCCCTCCTCCATAAGCAATCCCCGTGCCTGCGCAGACGGGAGGGGAGCGGCGTGGGGATGAGTGGCATGGGTATGGGAGTACGAGTATGAGTATGGTATGGCATGGTTGCTGGCATGCTGTGCACCCTCAACCCATAAGTGGCATGGGGATGAGTGGCATGGAAATGGGAGTACGAGTATGAGTACGGGATGGCATGATACTGCATGCTGTGCACCCTCACGCCCTCCTCCATAAGCAAGCCCCGCGCCTGCTCAGACAAGAGGGAGTGGCATCAGAACGAAATGCACAGCGATGGGATTGCGAATACACTCATCAGTGTGAGTGTGCGAAAGGATTGGCTGCTGCATGACGCGCACCTCACACCCTTCTGCTTACCCAAGCCCCCAGTCCACTCAGGCAAGAGAACTGAGTGGACTGGGGGCTTGGGTAAGCCCACCTGCTCTGCTCCCTGCGGCACTCTCACCATCACCCAGGAGTTTGTGGTAGAAAAGAGGAGGACAGGGGGAGAAGAGGAAAAGAGGAGAAGTCACTAGGCAAGGGTACTCGCCAGGCAAGGGCCCATGAGGATTGTGCCAGGGGTATCATTGCCTCCAAGGGCCATTGGACATGAATTCACGCCAACACCTCCACCAGCTTGCTCAAGTGAGGATCGTTGCCATTGCCACTGCCACACCACTTGAGCAAGCTGGTAGAGGTGCGCATGCAGTGCCATTGAACGTGACCTCACGTGGTGAGGCGAGTGCGTCATTCCGGCCCATGGACATATGCTGAACGGCTAACATGGATACTCACTGGTTCATCAGACGTATCGTTGCCGTTGAATGTGCGCCCCACTTGCGACAGCTGCTGGGCCAGCCTGACAGCATCTTCTGATGGCGCCTGTACGTGTGGGCAGGGGAGTGAGCATGCATGAGGCCCCGTGCATGGTATGTGATGGGATGGGATAACAGGGCATGGGATGGCATGGGATGGCACGGGATGCCATGGGATGCCATGGGATGCCATGCCATGGCATGGCACAGCACAGCATGGCATGGGATTGTACAGAATGGCATGGCATGGTACAACACAGCATGGCATGGGATGTTACAGCATGGTAAGGCATGGCATGACATGAGATGAAGTGATACGAAATGACACGGCACAGCCAATGTCTCTACCTGTGTCAGCTCTGCACGTGACTCGACGATGTGCGCGTGGGAGCAATGGAAGGCGAACTGGGTGGCAGCTCGTTCCAAGAGGATGGAGAGGATGCTGAGGGTGGGGGCGATGATGCATCCCTGGGGGTTAGAAGGGAAGGAGAGGAATGGAGAGAGGCACATGCAAAAGGGGAAAAAAAAAAATCGTAGCAGGGGGGCAGTGAGAGAGACTGGAAGGCGAACTGGGTGGCAGCTCGTTCCAAGAGGTGTAGAGGATGCTGAGAGTGGGGGCGCTGATGCAATGCATCCCTGGGGGTGAAACGGAAGTTAAGGCATGAAAGCTCATGAAAGCACACTGCTTGCTATGAGATGAGCGCGTTATGAGCTTGTTCCAGGAGTATGGAGGAGTATGGAGGAGTTTCGGGAGAGAACCCACCCATTTTGTGAGTCGGTTCTTATGTAGTCTCATAGGCCACCTCATTACTGAGAGTGGGTCCTATGCCTTCTTTGCGAGGCTATTATTGGCCTTGATGGAGCCACGTGATAGGTTGTAAAAGGTTATTTTTGAGACTGGCCCTATCGCCAGGCTATTATTTGCCTCGAATCAGCTGGTGCTGCCTCACATCAGCTGGTGCTGCCTCACATCAGCTGGTGCGCCCTCACATCAGCTGGTGCGCGCATGGTGCTAGCTCTCGACGACGCACCATGCGCGTATCAGTGGTGCGTCGGTTTGCCAGGAGAGGATGGTTCCGGAGAAGCACATTTGGTTCCCAAACCGGGGGCCAAAAGGGGTGTTCGGCTGGCCTGGCATCATGCACCAGTTCGCTTCGGTGCTCATGCGCCTATCCCAGACCCGAGTCAGCTGTTGTCCGCTTATCTCAGAAGCTTCGAGGGAGCCCGCTTTGCTGTAGCCGGTACCCGAGTCTAGTTTTGAGGCGCCTCAAAACGAGCCTGTGCGTGATGCGCCAGTCGAACAGGGCCTTGGTGTGAAGTGTGCTCTCTTTTTCAGCCTTCCTTCTCCCCCCTTCTCCTCCTTGCAATAATTGCGTTGACTGGCATTGACTGCGTTGACTGGCGTTGACTGCATGCATGCCGCACCATGGATGCCTTGCCGCAAAACTCATAGAGACCACTCTACATGCATACATCGACTGCATTGATTGTGTTGACTGCATTGACTTACCATGGATGCCTTGTCGCAGAACTCATAGAGACCGCTGACCACTCAAATTTGACGGCCTTGAATGCATTGACTGGCGTAGACTGCATTGACTAGCGTTGACTGCATTGACTGGCGTTGACTGCATTGACTGGTGTTGACTGCATTGACTGGCGTTGACTGCATTGACTGGCGTTGACTGCATTGACTTACCATGGATGCCTTGTCGCAGAACTCGTAGAGACCGCTGAGCTCATCCTCTGGTATGTGCGCCCCCACCACCACACTGCTCAGCCCGAATGCTGTTGCCTGATTGTAGAGACGGGGGAGGATGGGAAGGAATAGAAGCGGTGGGGTAGGTTAGGGGGTGGGTGGAGGGAGAGGGTGGGTATCTGAGCTCATCCTCTGGTGTGCACGCCCCCACCACCACACTGATGAGCCCGAACGCTGTTGCCTGGTTGTGGGGAGAGGCGGAAAAGAAGGAGAGGGAATGGGAATAAAGGGGTGGCGGGGGAAGGGGGAAAGAGGGGGGGCACACACACACACACACACACACACACATACACACACACACAGACACACATACACACACACACATGCACACACACCCCCACACACACACATGCACACACACCCACACACACACGCATGCACACACACCCGCACACACACGCATGCACACACACCCACACACACACACACACACACACCCACACACACACACATGCACACACACACACACACACACACACACACACACACACACATGCACACCCCACCCCACACACACGCACTTCCGCTTTCCCTCTCACCCTCACCTGTCGCACGTTCTCGCATGCAACAGACGCATCCCCACTGAAATCCACATACACGCCTGTCGACCGGGACTGGGAGAACCGAGAGGGAGGGAGTGGGGAGAGAGTGAGTAGAGGGAGAGTGGTAATAGAGAGGGTACCTGAGCAACATTAAGAGCACCAGAAAAACAGACGAGTACCTGAGCAACAGAAAGAGCACCTGAGCAACAGAAAGAGCACCTGAGCAACAGAAAGAGCACCTGAGCAACAGAAAGAGCACCTGAGCAACAGAAAGAGCACCTGAGCAACAGAAAGAGTACCTGAGCAACAGAAAGAGCACCTGAGCAACAGAAAGAGCACCTGAGCAACAGAAATAGCACCTGAGCAACGGAGGCCAGGACCATGATGACGTCAGCCACCACTGGCAGTTCCAGCGGCTCAGGTAGACCCGCCACCTGAAGGCAAGAGACGCAAGGGAGGATGGATGGAGAGAGAGAGGGGGGAAGATAAAGAGGAGCCATTTGAGCCCTGGACTATTTTCTTTGCTGTAAAGCAGCTATTTTAGTCACTTTCTGGGAGTTGTTGAACTTTTTTTGAGGCGCCTCAAAAAGAGGAGCCACTTCAGCCCTGGACTGTTTTCTTTGCTGTAAAGCAGCTATTTGGGTCACTTTCCGGGAGTTAGTGACTCAGATATAGCTGGCTTCGAATTCCCTGAAAGGAGATGTGCGATCAGCTGCAGTGCAATCAGTCAGCTGATTGCAGCCCGCAAAAGACCAGCAAGAATGAGTTTCCAGCCTTTCCTTTTCAGCTTGGCACATGCAGCTTGGCACATGCAGCTTGGCACATGCAGCTTGCTTGGCACATGCTTGCTGCCCGCGAGTGAAAAGCAAAGGAGCTGTTTTTCCTTCCTCTCCCCTCTCCTTTCTCACCTCCCCCTCGTCTCGCCCATTAGGCTCGGGATTACCGTCCACAGCAGCCAATTGCAGTCCGCGAGGGACTAGCACAGGCCCTGTCTGTCTCCCCCTCATCTCTACATCCTCTCAACCCTTTCCACCCACCCTCTCCCCTCACTCCTCTCCCCTCTCCCGTCTCACCTCCCCTGCGTCCCGCCCGTTGGCCTCGGGATTGCCGTCCACCACAGCAGCCAGTTGCAAGCCGCGGGCAGAGGAGAGCGTAGAGAGAATGGTGGCGCCGAGAGGCGAGGCTACAGGACCGCTCACCACCAGCTGTGGGGAGGGAAGGAATAAGGGGGCACACTTGTCTTATATGAGTTTGCAGCTGCCAGTTGCAAGCCGCGGGCAGAGGAAAGGGTCGAGAGGATGGTGGCGCCGAGAGGGGACGCCACAGGACCGCTCACCACCAGCTGTGTGGGGGGGGATAAGTGAGCAGATAAGCAGGGGAGGGAAGATGAGTGCTTATACATGGAGCAGCTATTTGCAGCCCGCGAGCAGAGGAGAGCGTAGAGAGCATGATGGCTCCGAGAGGCGAGGCCACGGAGCCACTCACCACGAGCTGTGGGGGGAGTGGGGCAAGAGAGGGGAGCTGGGGAGTGGTGAGGTGAGCTGAGGCGAGAGTGGAGAGGATGGTGGTCTTCAGAGGGCACTGATGGTGATTCTCAGCTCTCTTTCGCACCTGCGGAGAGCTGCAGTTGCGAAGAGGAGAGCTGAGCAGAGAGAGAGAGAGAGGAGAGGGTGGAGAGGGTGGAGAGGATGGTGGTGCCTCGCGCTGAGGCCACAGGACGACACGTGGCAGCACGTTACTGCCGCACTGCCCGCGGAGAGCACGTGGGAGTTCGTTACCGCTGCTCACCGCGAACGCCAAGGTGCACGTGCAAGTACACTCCGTACGTCACCGGTAATAACAAGGTATATCATATAACTGAAGAGAACTGTAATGAATTATCGCTAATAACGAGGATGATTTCGGTTAAAGGCACCTTGAGAACGTTTCCGCCTTGCTGCGGGCGCGGAAATGCGCCCATTCCTTGCGGCCCTCCGATTGCGCAAATTCCAGCTCGCCGTTCGATCTGTTGATGGACATTGGATCCTACGGCTGGGATCACACGAACCCCGCGTTGCTGGCGAAAAGAATCTATAGATTCCCCGAAAAAGGCGGACTTTGCGTGCGCGGGAGCGAGGCGAGGTGGGTGATATTGGCGTCTGTTGAAGGACGAATGGAGAAGCGAGTGCGGAACGGAAGCCATGGCTGTGCCGATTTCGATGGGGGATGCTGGATTGGGCTGAACAGCTAGAAATCCTAATCACAGGTAAACTGCTATTGGGGGTTGTACGCGGAAAAACGGTTCTCGATAACTGGTTTACCCGTTTGCAAGGGAAACGCTTTGTACCACATACTCGATGTTTTCTCTCAAATCGAGTCCATAAATGTTCGAACGCGTATGTGGAGAATCGCTGTCTACCGTGTACCGTAATGGACGAGCATTCCGCCAGAACGCTTTCTGTGCACGACGACCACTGCTGTCAGTTTCCGTCAGTCATCAGTCAGTCATCTCACCAGCCAGCTGAGCAGACTCGACTTACTAGTCGAAGAGTCCGTTTCGAAGTACACATCAGGAATGTCATCGATGGTCGACCATAGGAATCCGCGATGCACACAGCAAGCTCGACCTCGATTCTGTCGGAGCCTTCCCTACCACCAGACGATGACATTGACGACTCGTTGCGACGCATCGAGGCTCGTTACGACTGATTGTGACATGGAATTTACATTGTAACGTTGTTCTTCCGAAACGAGATGATGGGTCTGTCGCTGTCAAAGCGTCGTGATCGCGACTGGCTCACTAATGTCAAAGCGTCGCGACGTAGTAGCCGTTCCATCCCAGTCATCGTCCTGCAATGTCGCCTTCCGTGATCATCATGCTGTTCTTTTCAAAAACACTCGATCCTAACTCCATGGTTTCGACTCCTACTCCTCGGAACAATTAACACGGTTGATACTACTGGCACAGCGCTATGTCTTACAGAAAGGAATGCTCGCTCGCGCCGTCACTTGTAACGCTTGTGTGTTTTTATTTCGCAATTTTCGTCGTTCAAGCGTCGGCTACTCTGAGCCCCGGGAGCGAAAGCAAATGCGAAATTCCCGCCGAGACCGGCACGGCGCATCGAGCTCGAGATGCTGGGACGCGAACGATTGCGCGAACTCCACCACTCGGGTAACACCGCTGGCGAAACCGATCATGACAAAGCTCCTGCCGCATAGCCGCGCCTGTTGTATGATGTTTTACTTAATTCCGTGACGTGGCATGTGACGTGTCGTGTGACGTGGCGTTGACGTGGCAGGTGGAACAGCTGGAACTATTTCGGATGCAATGTCACGGAAGAGATTGTGAAAACCCAAGGTAGTACTGCAAATGACCGGCCCTTCCTCTCGTGCTGTATCGTGTGGTGTGGTGCTCTCTTGGGCTTCTGAGTATGCCAAGGTTCACCTTGGTGTGTTGCTGAGTCTCGAGTCAGGGTCAATGTGTCAGGGTCAACAGGCTTTTACAAGCTGCTTTTACAAGCTTCCTTCAACAGCGCCTTCGAAGGCCTCTTATGCTATTCTATGCAAATAATGAATTACTGTTCAGGCCTGCCCACTGTTGCTTGCAAGGCTGATGGGTCCTTCCTTCTATGCTGCTGTGTTGCTGTGCGCTGATGTGTTTCTGGGTGCGTTTCTGCGTGCCACTACCGATACCATCATGACAACAACTTCTGTCACAGCAGACATGCTCGTATCCTCAGGACTAGCAGCTCTTGGCTACATTTATGTTAACATTGGTGAGTCGACACTGTGGAACAGACCTTGTAATTCGACTCATGCAACGTATCCTCTGGACTCACAGCGATCGGTTACGTCCATCTCAAGACTTGGTGAGACGACATTGTGGTAAATTCCTTGTGAATCAACGTATAAAACGTATCCTCAGGACTTGCAGCAGCACTAGGTTACATCTATCATCTATCATCTATGTCAACAATGGTGAGAGGAGACGACTATGCTTACTGTGTCTGACTGATGAATGCATGGCCAAGAGGCGGTGTTATATCACTTTTATGTTGCTCGAATGGCAAGGGGATGTCATACTCTCTTGCCTATAGCTAACATTGTGACTTGGCCCCTCTTTTGCAGATGATTGCTGGCAAGCAGATTCTCGAGATTCTGAGGTGGGTGAATTATCCACCCACTCTCTGACTCGCATGCATCCCTTTATCATGCATCCCATCCCATTCATCCCATGCATCACAAACAACCATCATCCGCGCCTCACCTCTTCGCTCTCCACTGCGTGTGCAGGGTCGCCTGGCAGCATCCCCCGTCTCGTTCCCGTCGGGCATCAAGGCCCTTGCGGACTATGTGCACAGCAAGGGGCTCAAGCTGGGTATCTACTCCGATGCTGGGTGAGGGGGGGGAGGGTGGATTGGGTGTTTCATGGTGGTTGATATGGGGGAGACAGAGGGAAAAGAGGGGTTTAGACTACGTGCACAGCAAGGGGCTCAAGCTGGGTATACACTCCGATGCTGGGTGAGGGGGAGGGTTTGCAGTCTGGGTGAGGCAGTAAATGGGTGGTAAGGGGCTCAGCAAGGGTGGTTGTGGAGATTCTGCGCAGCAAGGGGTCCAAGCGGGACACCTACTCCGTTCGGGTGAGGCAGTGTGTAGAGAGGTGAGCAGTGCTGGTGACCTCAAGGTCGGTTTCTGCGTCAGGGGGTTGGGGGTGATTCGGCGGATTATGCACAAACCAAAGAGCTCAAGCTGTGCTTTCACTCTGATGCCAGATGAGGGGTAGGGTAGGGTGCAGCCCGGGTGAGGGGGACTGTAGCCCGGGTGAGGGGGACTGTAGCCCGGGTGAGGGGGACTGTAGCCCGGGTGAGGGGGACTGTAGCCCGGGTGAGGGAGACTGTAGCCCGGGTGAGGGGGACTGTAGCCCGGGTGAGGGGGATTGTAGCCCGGGTGAGGGAGACTGTAGCCCGGGTGAGGGGGACTGTAGCCCGGGTGAGGGGGATTGTAGCCCGGGTGAGGGGGATTGTAGCCCGGGTGAGGGGGATTGTAGCCCGGGTGAGGCATTGGATAGAGCAAGGCTGCACCCGGGCTGCAGAGTGTGCCCAAGCTGGGCTGAGCAAGGCTGGTGATGGAAAGGGGAGTGGGGGGAAGTTGTGCAGAGTGTGCGCACTGCAAGCGGCTCAAGCAGGGTATTTGCACCTATTTGGGTTGTCGCTGTGTACCACTACATACATGGCATGTTGAGAGCACCTGAGAAGAGGAAAGGGTACTGCCGAGTATGATCAGGGGCAATCAGAAGAGAGGAGGGAGATAGAGAGGATAGGCAGACGGTCCTGCCTTGGGCCACCTGCAAGGGGGTATAGGAGGCTTGCCTGCTGGTCTGCTTGCTTGCTCGCTTGCGTAGGACTGGACCATGAGTTCTGTACCATGCCTGCTTGGTTGCTTGTACTCTAGGGTGGTTGCTTGCTTGCTAGGACCAGCCATTGCCTTGCCTGTACCCTCATATACATCAATAGAGGACCGCTTGAGAGGAAGTGGTGGTGGGTACAGTGAGGTGAGGAGATTGGGGTGGATGCAGCCATTCGCGAGCAGATTGCATGAGGTTCTGCTTTGAACCTCATGAACCTCATGAGGAGATTGAAAGCTTTGCCAGTGGCAGGTCCTGTTGTCCACGTGTGTGTATGTGTGTACCTGACTGACTGCGATAGCGGGAAAACGGAGGAGGGAGGGAGATACAGGGCAAGATGTGTTGGTACGGCGAGGAGAGGAGAGAGGGAGGCTCCTGATAGCATTACCAAGGCAGGTTCTGATGTCCACGTGTAAGTATGTGTTTACCCGACTGCTGTGTTCCTTCCGCCCATCCCCACCAGCATACGCACGTGCGCATTGAAGCCCGGCTCGCTGTGGCATGAGGCAGTGGACGCAGCCACCTTCGCCGAATGGGTGAGTGACAGACACGCTCACATGCACACATTCGCACATTCTCTCTGGTGTGCACATGCTGTGGTGTGGCACGAGTGCTCATGCTGTGAGGCGCACATGCTGTGAAGCACACTTGCTCTGCGTTGGTTGTTTTTTGCCTCATGCTTCATACCTCGCAAGTCATGGCTCATGCTGTATTGCTCATGCCTCATGCCTCCTGCTTCCATGCATCCTGCTTCATGCCTGATTTGTCATGCTTCTGACACATGCTTTTGACTCGGAAGTGGAGTGAACACCACTTGGATCATGCCATAACGTGTAGAAAGAAATGTTTTGAGACGTCTCAAAACACCACTTGGATGCCATGCCATAACTCTAATCCACTCCACACCACACCACACCACACCACAGCGATGAGCATTGTGTTTCGTTACAAGGGTGTTTTCTTGCTTGCGGCACGTGCATGTGGCAGGGAGTGGATTATCTCAAATATGACAACTGCTACAATGATGGAAGCCCCAGCAAGAAGCGGTATGTATGTACGCACGCCCTACACTCGCGCTTGTGCGCCATCACTTCTATTCTGGCTCTTTGAGAATGGCTCCAAGTAGATGCCTTTTGTGTTGAGTTTCAGAACTCATGCGCCAATCTCACTTTCCATCTTCACTACATGCCATGCCGCCATGCATGACGCCTCCAAGTTCCATAGCCCATCCCATTCCTGCCATTCCTCCCATTACCCCCGTGTCCCCACGCTTCTCATACTCCCCCCTCCATGCTCCCCAAAACTCCCCATCCCCCCCATCCCACCCATGGCCCCCATGCCCCTCACTGCAATCAGCTACACGGCCATGCGCAATGCATTGGAGGCCACTGGGAGAGACATTTTCTTCTCCATGTGCGAATGGTGAGTCCTTGTGGACGAACGAATAATGACTGACCGCACACAGGAGTCCATACGTGAATGGTGAGCGAGATCGTAACGTAAGGGTGAGTGATGATGAGAGGTCGTAAGAGTGACCCCACAAAGGAGTACATTCTGGGAATGTGCCGTGCTCTGCAGTTTGTAATGCTAAAGAACGCAGCACAGGGTATCTTATCGCAGTCAGTCACCTCCGTCCTTCCCTTCGTGAGTGTTTTCTTGAAAGCTAAGCAGCCAAGCTTCTAGATCACAGAATTCAAGTGCCGATGCTGCACAACAATGTGATTTTGGGTCGAATCAGAAATTACCTCTCTTCGTGACTGTTGTTAATTGAGTGAATCAACCTTGCTTCCAGAACACAGCAAATGAATAGCAGTGCTGCACTCTCTTCTTTCCACTCACGCTCTGTTGATCTTCCCAATAAATTCATTGTGTGCCTGTCTCTTCTGGACTGCCACGTGTGCTGCTTCCTGCATATGCCACGAGTGCTGCTGCATGCATCTGCCACGTGTGCTGCTTGTATCTGCCACGTGCTGCTGCCTGCACCTGCCACGTGTGCTGCTTGTATCTGCCACGTGCTGCTGCCTGCACCTGCCACGTGTGCTGCTGCTTGCAGGGGACAGGACCTCCCTGCTCTGTGGGCGTATGGCGTGGCAGACACGTGGCGCACCACCCGTGACATTGAGGACACGTGGAGCAGGTGAGGACACGTGGAGCAGGTGAGGACACGTGGAGCAGGTGAGGACACGTGGAGCAGGTGAGGACACGTGGAGCAGGTGAGGACACGTGGAGCAGGTGAGGATTGCCACATGTATGAAGGGAGGAGGGACACGGGGATGGAGGAGGGCCACGTGGACTAGGTGGGGAGGGACACGTGGACTAGGTGGGGAGGGACACGTGGATCAGGTGGGGAGGGACACTTGGGCTAGGGTGGGAGGGACACGTGGATTAGTTGGGGAGGGACACTTGGGCTAGGGTGGGAGAGACACGTGGATTAGTTGGGGAGGGACACTTGGGCTAGGGTGGGAGGGACACGTGGATTAGTTGGGGAGGGACACTTGGGCTAGGGTGGGAGGGACACGTGGATTAGTTGGGGAGGGACACTTGGGCTAGGGTGGGAGGGACACGTGGATTAGTTGGGGAGGGACACTTGGGCTAGGGTGGGAGGGACACGTGGATGAGTTGGGGAGGGACACCTAAATTAGGTGAGAAGGGCCATGGGATGGAACTAGTATCCTCGTGCATGCAATCAGGCAACCATAAATAAGATGTACCTCAATGCATGCGCATGGGATCGAAGAGTAGGGGAGAGGAGGTGACTTTGAGTTGACTCAACGGTCACCTTGAATGATGAACTCTGGAGGGGAGGGAGCAGGAGGGGGTGATGGGGGAAGTTGGTGAAAGAGTGGAAGAGGAAGATGATTGGTTATTGGGGGAATGTGAAATAGTAGAAGGGAGTGTGAAATAGTAGAAGGGAGCGTGAAATAGTGGAAGGGAGCGTGAAATAGTAGAAGGGAGCGTGAAATAGTAGAAGGGAGCGTGAAATAGTAGAAGGGAGCGTGAAATAGTAGAAGGGAGCGTGAAATAGTAGAAGGGAGCGTGAAATAGTAGAAGGGAGCGTGTAATAGTAGAAGGGAGCGTGAAATAGTAGAAGGGAGCGTGAAATAGTAGAAGGGAGCGTGAAATAGTAGAAGGGAGCGTGTAATAGTAGAAGGGAGCGTGAAATAGTAGAAGGGAGCGTGAAATAGTTGAAGGGAGCGTGAAGGTATTGGAGAGGGAGAAGGGTGAGAATGCATGGTAGAACAAGGGTGAGGATGCGAGTGGAAAGGAGAAGAGAGGAAGGGAGCGGCAGAAGGACGTGCGTCGACACTCGCCGATACCATCTTGCCTCCCCGTCTGTATGCATGTATGTGGCGCGCTTCACATGATCGTGGCACATGCAGCATGATTCGCATTGCAGACGTTAACAACAAGTGTGTGCGCCACGAGCATCAGTGATGACGCCTTGCCTCCCTCCCTGTGTGTGCATGCATGCATGTGGCACATGGAACGTTCCACATGCAGCATGATGCGCATTGCAGATGTCAACAACAAGTGGGCCAAATACGCCAAGCCAGGCGGGTGGAACGGTGAGCAACAGTGGGAGAGCCGAAGGGTGCACGCTATAAAAAGTGCATACCATATCCACACTGGAATGGGCAGCAATAATATATTCACCTTAACTGCATTCAACCTGGATGCATTGATGCCGGATCATCCGAGGGTAGGAAACTACGTTATCTCACTTACTCCTCCTTGCGTCTGCCACTCTTGCTGCCTCCCGCCCTTCTTCTCAAACATTTCTCTCCACCCCCCACCCATTCCTGACCTCCCCATCGCATCAGACCCGGACATGCTGCAGGAGGGGAACTGACTTCCCTTCCTAACATACCTCCTCGTTTCCCCCATCCCCATCGCATCAGACCCGGACATGCTGCAGGAGGGGAACTGACTTCCCTTCCTAACATACCTCCTCGTTTCCCCCATCCCCATCGCATCAGACCCGGACATGCTGCAGGAGGGGAACTGACTTCCCTTCCTAACATACCTCCTCGTTTCCCCCATCCCCATCGCATCAGACCCGGACATGCTGCAGGAGGGGAACTGACTTCCCTTCCTAACATACCTCCTCGTTTCCCCCATCCCCATCGCATCAGACCCGGACATGCTGCAGGAGGGTAGCTGACTTCCCTTCCTAACATACCTCCCCTCCCCGTTTCCCCCATCCCCATCGCATCAGACCCGGACATGCTGCAGGAGGGTAGCTGACTTCCCTTCCTAACATACCTCCCCTCCCCGTTTCCCCCATCCCCATCGCATCAGACCCGGACATGCTGCAGGAGGGTAGCTGACTTCCCTTCCTAACATACCTCCCCTCCCCGTTTCCCCCATCCCCATCGCATCAGACCCGGACATGCTGCAGGAGGGTAGCTGACTTCCCTTCCTAACATACCTCCCCTCCCCGTTTCCCCCATCCCCATCGCATCAGACCCGGACATGCTGCAGGAGGGTAGCTGACTTCCCTTCCTAACATACCTCCCCTCCCCGTTTCCCCCATCCCCATCGCATCAGACCCGGACATGCTGCAGGAGGGTAGCTGACTTCCCTTCCTAACATACCTCCCCTCCCCGTTTCCCCCATCCCCATCGCATCAGACCCGGACATGCTGCAGGTGGGTAGCTGACTTCCCTTCCTAACATACCTCCCCTCCCCGTTTCCCCCATCCCCATCGCATCAGACCCGGACATGCTGCAGGTGGGTAGCTGACTTCCCTTCCTAACATACCTCCCCTCCCCGTTTCCCCCATCCCCATCGCATCAGACCCGGACATGCTGCAGGAGGGTAGCTGACTTCCCTTCCTAACATACCTCCCCTCCCCGTTTCCCCCATCCCCATCGCATCAGACCCGGACATGCTGCAGGTGGGTAGCTGACTTCCCTTCCTAACATACCTCCCCTCCCCGTTTCCCCCATCCCCATCGCATCAGACCCGGACATGCTGCAGGAGGGTAGCTGACTTCCCTTCCTAACATACCTCCCCTCCCCGTTTCCCCCATCCCCATCGCATCAGACCCGGACATGCTGCAGGTGGGTAGCTGACTTCCCTTCCTAACATACCTCCCCTCCCCGTTTCCCCCATCCCCATCGCATCAGACCCGGACATGCTGCAGGAGGGTAGCTGACTTCCCTTCCTAACATACCTCCCCTCCCCGTTTCCCCCATCCCCATCGCATCAGACCCGGACATGCTGCAGGAGGGTAGCTGACTTCCCTTCCTAACATACCTCCCCTCCCCGTTTCCCCCATCCCCATCGCATCAGACCCGGACATGCTGCAGGTGGGTAGCTGACTTCCCTTCCTAACATACCTCCCCTCCCCGTTTCCCCCATCCCCATCGCATCAGACCCGGACGTGCTGCAGGAGGGTAGCTGACTTCCCTTCCTAACATACCTCCCCTCCCCGTTTCCCCCATCCCCATCGCATCAGACCCGGACATGCTGCAGGTGGGTAGCTGACTTCCCTTCCTAACATACCTCCCCTCCCCGTTTCCCCCATCCCCATCGCATCAGACCCGGACATGCTGCAGGTGGGTAGCTGACTTCCCTTCCTAACATACCTCCCCTCCCCGTTTCCCCCATCCCCATCGCATCAGACCCGGACATGCTGCAGGTGGGTAGCTGACTTCCCTTCCTAACATACCTCCCCTCCCCGTTTCCCCCATCCCCATCGCATCAGACCCGGACATGCTGCAGGTGGGTAATGGCGGCATGAGGCAGTCGGAGTATCGTGTGCACTTCAGCCTCTGGGCCATCATGAAGGTGCGATGGGCCATCATGAAGGTGCGATGGGCCATCATGAAGGTGCGATGGGCCATCATGAAGGTGCGATGGGCCATCATGAAGGTGCGATGGGCCATCATGAAGGTGAGATGGGCCATCATGAAGGTGCGATGGGCCATCATGAAGGTGCGATGGGCCATCATGAAGGTGCGATGGGGGGCCATCATCAAGGTGCGATGCACCTTGTTCTATTCAGGTCCTTATATCCAACTAATCTCCCTACACAAGCCCTCCAGTCTCTGAACCTCCTACGTTTCTTGGAAAAGAAGCCCCACCTCACTCTCATGAAAAAAATGTTACTTAAGTTCTGGGCCATCATGAAGGTGAGGCGGGGCCATTATCGAGTTGTTTGAGGATACGTCTTTTCACGTGTACTTACATGCATGCTTGTGCTCATGAAGGTGAAGCTTTTCAAAGTTCCACTCAAAGGCTCCCACCCATCCGCCTATCTGCCACCACCTGTCCTCATTGGCTGCGCCTGATGGTTATCACGGACTCATTCTGCTTACGTCCTCTAAACCACGCACTTCCTGTACACACCCCTTCCGCTTACGTCCTCCCACCAGGCACCCCTTCTGATTGGCTGCGATCTTTCTGCTGCCTCGAACGAGGCCATGAGCATTCTGAGCAACAAAGAAGTGATTGCCGTCAACCAGGGTACGTGTGTTCTGAGGTGTGTTATGAGTTGACTCAAAACACGGCTGCGTTCTTTCTGCTGCCTCGAACGAGACCATGAGCATTCTGAGCAACAAAGAAGTTATAGCCGTCAAACAGGGTACGTGTTCGTGCTGTTGTGTAGCTCTATTTTAAGACGTTGCATGTTTTGGGGAGCTTCAGAGGCTCATTGCTGAGAACCAGGGTGCGTGCTCATGCTGCTGAATAGCTCGATAATGACAAGCTGCCTGTGCCAGGCGCAGCAAAGCGTTGCCTCTATATGTGCTTGTGTTAAATCAATGGGAGCACCCAAGCAAGGGATGTGCAGAAGCGAGGCAACCCTAATTGCACAAGAGGTGCTGATGTGGTTTGATCCGACTGTGGTACACGCACACGTCATTCCTCTGACATGTGCCGCGCTGTGATTGGTGCAGATTCACTGGGAGTGCAGGCACGGAAGGTGCAGCTCTCTATCAACTCCCAGGTGGAGGTGAGATCATTAGACACCCTCTTGCAAGCCAACACTTAGATAAGCGTCACCATGGCTTGGATAAGTGCCACCACGGCGGTGTGCTTGTTGATTCGCTGACAGAATCATGTTTCAAGCATTTGCGTCTGATAATACGCTTCAGATGCCTACAACTTACACTTGATACTTGTGTCCTTCCTCAACCTGCAGGTCTGGTCCGGGCCTCTGTCTGACGATCGGCAAGTAGTGGCATTGGTGAATCGTGGTGCGAGGAGCGAGAATGTGACAGTCAGCTGGAAAACATTAGGGCTGAATGTGGTGCAGCGGATGTATGCGCGAGACCTCTGGAAGGTACGTGACATCAATACATTTGTAGCAAATCTGTTTCTTAGTTGGCTCAAAAACCCGGTGCAGCGGATGTATGCGCGAGACCTCTGGGAGGTGAGTCTGAGTAGCAGCAGCTCTTTCCTCTCGCGCACACACGCGCACGTGTGCACACACAAGCGCGCACGCACACGCACACACACACGTGCACACGCACACACACATAACCCACAGCCTCTTCCACACACAAAGTTTGAGGCTCCTTACCCCCTTTGCTTCACTCTTCCTCGCCTTCCATCTTCCTCCTCCTTCCCAATGGCATGTGTAAACACATACCTCAGGCACACACTCATGCAGAGGCTTGCTCGTTCACACACCAGCACGATCTCTGTTATGTGTCTCCACCCCATGCTCCTTCTGTGGTGCAGAAATCCACCTTGAATTCCGCCTTCTCTGGAGAGATGAGTGCTCGTGTTGCGAGCCACGACGTGCGGCTCTTTGTGATCTGGCCCGCACCGGATGTCTAAGGCTTGGTATCTCACCCGTATCAGATGCCTGTCCAACTGAATTCAATATGTTTGCAATAATGGTGGTGGTGCAGCACGTCAAATGTTGATGACGGACTGTATTCTCACCTTCCTTCATAAGCCCTGGACTTATGAGTTGTACCGAACTCGGTTTTATCGCTGGTATATCCTTCTCACAAGGATGGTTTCTGCACCCAGGAGGAAAGTACACTTCACTGCATGCCAAACGCAGGCTGGGCCCGTCCTCCTCACGTGAAACGACGAGGCAGGTGGGACTGAGCGGTGAAGGGGGGCAACCTCTCCAGATTGCACCACATCGTACTCGACCTATTGTTATGAGCGAGAAGTCAACTCTGATCCATCGTTCGCTGCCTGAATACACCCTGTTTCTCGCTACACTGAACTGTGCCGAACCGGTGGAAAACCTTGTTACCTTCGGTTTGCCTAATTGAACCATACTTAAACGTAATTTAACCACCGTTAACCGTGCTTTTCCCATCTTGACTTCATTATAACCGAATTCACAATGGCGAGAAAGAGGGTGTAAATCGTACATTTCATTCCAAAATTGCATCACATCGCTTCGGTGCATTGCGGTCCCAAGCGATAAGATTTATAGGCCGTCGTTTACCGTGGCAGTGCGCCACACTCTTCCTCAATCCCAAAACGACTATTGACGACCAGAGTCAGTCGCAGCGACGACGAATCAGGCGAACTCGGTCAACGGTAGCGTACAGTATCAGTAATCCCAGGAACCCACTCTCCACCTTCCTGCCAAATAGTTATCAATAGGGAATGTCGGTGCACCTTCGCTTCTGTCGCTAGGGCCTTGGGATGATCGCCTCGCCTGACTGTCTGACAGCTACCAGAAAATGTAGGATGGGAAGGATGGTATCGTGAAATCCACTTCTCATCTCACTAAAAAACGGCATCCTTACATTTCTGTCGGCGTTGGCAAATCAGTTGACTTCCTTCTTGCTTGCAGTATCTTGTGTTTTCTAAGACTTCGTACGTACCGGCTAAGGCCTACGAAGTCGTGGAATCTGTGCTTGGAGGGGTTTCGTGTCTTGCGTAGCCGTTATAGGAACTTCGGGTTTCGAATCTATAGTTCTGATCTTGGCTTAACGGCTGTCAAATCTCGTCAAGCATGGCTCGGACGTTGAGTTTCCATTGTAGGGTGCTTGCCGCTGTCCTCTTGGCTGTCGTCGTTGTCGCGGATGCCAGTGCAAGCGACCACAGATACGGCCAAGGGGACAGCGTGCCTTTCTACGTGAACAAAGTCGGTCCCTTCAGCAACCCAAGGTGAGATGCTATGTTTATGATTTGACGCAAGTATTCTGCGTCTAGTGGCGACTGACGCTGGACGTTCGAAGGAGTAATTCTTTTAGATGTTTGTTTTTGCTTCCGTTCTGACTCGCTACTCTTCATTTCAGAATGTTCCGTGCTTCTTTTAGATTCTGTTATTTTTCGCTTGTGGAGCTAACGTATGCGCCTTCCGTGTTCACCGATTTGGCTCCAAACTCGTTTTCCGCAGTGAAACGTACAAGTTCTTCGATCTGCCGTTTTGCCAGCCAGGTTCGTTCAACAGCAAGTTGCTCAGTCTAAGAATTCTGCAAGATTCGCTTTCTTCGTGTCTTTCTTTCGTTAAAAAATTCTCAGCCTATGCTTGCGTTTCTTTTACGTTGTACTGCTACAACACTCTCTTTCCAACTTCGATGTTTCACTCCCATGATTCGCGACCTTTCAACCCAGCGTCGTCGTTTCACGCAAGTCAATCCGCTTCATGTGTGTGTTCAGGAAAGATCAACGAGAAGCATCAATCCCTCGGCGAAGTGCTCAACGGCGATCGAATGGTTCAGGCCTCCTACGACCTAAAATTCCGCGTAGATCACGAGCGAACGACGCTCTGCAAGCGAACGCTCAGCGTTAAGGACGTCCAGAAGCTCCGCAAAGCGGTCCTGAACGACTACTATTTCCAGATGTACTTAGACGATATCCCGATCTGGGGTTCCATCGGGAAGGTTGACAGTGGCACATACAAGGTTGACAGTGACACGTACAAGGTTGACAGTGACACGTACAAGGTTGACAGTGACACGTACAACGTTGACAGTGACACGAATGACACGAACCAGCACATCTCCATTTTCACGCACATACATTTCATCGTAGGGTATAACAGCGACCGCGTGGTGGAAATCAGCGTGGTGACCGATGCGGATAGCACGGTGGAGATGGACAGTAGTGAGGATACGGAGATGGAGGTGGAATTCAAGTTTTCCGTCTCTTGGATGCGGACGGATAAGGCGTTTGAGACGCGCATGGACAAGTACGCGCGGTACGCGTTCCTTCCGCATCATATGGAGGTCCACTGGTTCTCCATCCTCAACTCGTGTTTCACGGTGCTGCTGCTCGGCGGCTTCATCGCGACCAGACTCACACACGTCCTTAAGAGCGGCTTAATCAGGTACGTTAAGACAAATTCGTCAAGCTTCTAGAACGACTTCGTCCAGTACATGACACGATCTGATCATCGATTCTTTTTCGAATCTGCCGTTTCGCGCGTGTTCGACAACCCTTCATTCACTGCAGTAGGACAATCAAGAGATGTCATTTTGTCGTCTCCTGTGTTGATAGTCGGTGACTCGGTGGCTTATGGATGTTGTTGCAAGAGGGTGGTGAACGGTGTGACCAAGATAGTGTTGCTGTAGCATGTCTTACGGCATCTTACGAATTAAGGATTTCGCCCGCTTGTTTTTTTATTTTATTTTTTTGAGTTATTCAGGTACTCGCATGATGCGGATCCGTTAGAACAGACGGAGGAAGCTGGGTGGAAGTCCATCCATGGCGACGTTTTCCGCTTCCCCAAGAACAAGGAGCTTTTCTGCGCCGTTCTTGGCAGCGGCACTCAATTGCTCTTCCTGTGAGTTTGGTTGCCTGTTCATTAGTAGTACACTCTCGCTTATTGGTGCAATCTAGTTTAGTTTGGTTCGGTTCATACTCAGTGCATGATAACAGCATGCACGCAATGCATAAGTCATTAGGATCATAAAGCTGCTTCTCTCCTGATCTCATCAAATCAAGCCCCATATCCGCGTCTATTTCCGTGCTTGCTCTCTTTCCGTCAGGGTCCTTCTCGTGTTTATTCTCACTCTTGTGGGGATGTTATACCCCTACAATCACGGTGCTTCTTGGACGGCGCTGGTGGTGATTTATGTGCTGACCTCTGGAATCGCTGGGTACACGTCTGCATCTTTCTACAAGCAGATGGAGGGGACCAACTGGGTGAGTAAAATGCAGTGGGTGCGATGCAGTAGGTGCAATGCAGTGGGTGCATTGCAATAAAAAAGAACCCCGGCAATGCGTTTTTCACTCGGATGAGATACCTGTCCTCTCTGTAAGACGCTTCAAGCAGTGATATTATCCGTTTATTCTGTTCCCCACCCTCCCTTCACCACCCCCTCTACCCTCCTACCCTCCTCTTCACTTCCTTCCCCTTCCCTTTCGTCATTTCACTGCCTTGTCTGTATACTGGTGACGTATGAGGCTACTTATGAGATTTTTGAAGGATGAGGCTCCTTCACGCTGGACTCCGGCGCGTCTCAGTGTTTCTTCCGCGACCACACCACTGTCACACCTCTTTCGGCTCCAGTCCCAGTTGCCCTGGCTGATCCTACTTCAGGACCAGCAGTTGCTCGTAGCTCGACCACCCTCCCGTGCCCAGCTGTCCCCTCTGGTTTCCTCACTGGTCTCTACATCCCCTCGTTCTCTCGGAACTTGGTGGGTGTTGGATACCTTCAGGACCGGGGGATCACAGTCACTTTTCCTGCGCACGGGAGGACTGCGATCTGTACGGACTCTTCCACCGGGGCAGTTCTTGCCACGTTCACCAGAGAGCCCCACTCAGGTCTCTTCGTCCTGCACACTCCGCCCCCGCAGGTAGCTGCGTCTGGTCAGGTTGCTTCGTCCCCCCCGGTAGCAGAGTCCGGTCAGGTGGCTGTGTCCAGTCCGGTCGCTGTGTCCAGTCCAGTCGCTGCGTCTTGCTCCTGTCGCTCTCTCGCCCACCGCACCGTCCTGTGGCACCACCGTCTTGGCCACCCGTCGATCCCTCGCCTTCGTGGCATGCTCAGTCAGGGACTAGTCACAGGTCTCCCACGCACCTTCCCGTCGCTCCCTCCCTCGCTTGCCCCTCCTTGCTCTCCGTGCGTCGCCGGTCGCTTACGTGCCACTCCCCACTCCTCCTCCCTTCGTCCGGCCACCGCTCCCTTCGAGACTCTCCACTTGGACGTCTGGGGCCCTACCCCGACGCAGGGGTCTGGGAGGGAGCGCTACTTTCTGGTGGTCGTCGACGACTTCTCCAGGTACACCACAGTGTTTCCTCTTGCGAAGAAGTCCGAGGTGACTGCTACGCTGATCAGGTGGCTTCTAGCCACTGAGGGCACTCGTGGTCGTCGAGTCAGTTGTCTTCACTCCGACCGTGGGGGCGAGTTTCGCTCCGGCATTCTCGGCGGATTCTGCGGCGAACAGGGCATCACCCAGTCCTGGACGCTGCCAGAGTCCCCACAGCAGAATGGGGTTGCTGAGCGCCGCATAGGCTTGGTCATGGACATCGCCCGCACGTCCATGATTCATGCCCGTGCGCCCCATTTTCTGTGGCCTCACGCGGTTCGCTACGCCGCACACCAGCTGAACCTCCAGCCGCGTGTCTCGCGGCCCGAGGCTTCACCGACCAGTCTCTGGACTGGATCCCCTGGTGTTGGGTCGGCCTTTCGAGTCTGGGGCTGCCTTGCACTTGTTCGCGACACCTCCGCGGACAAGCTCTCGGCACGCGCCGTCCCCTGTGTCTTCCTTGGTTTCCCAGTGGACTTTGTTGACTGGTCCTTTTACCACCCTCCCCTCCACCAGTTCCTAGATTCACGTGACGTCCAGTTTGACGAGTCCGTGTCCTACTACACCCGGTACCCCTGTCGAGGTCTCCCGGTACCCCCTCCCCCTCTCTTCCTCGCACCCTCTCCTCCTCCTGCTCCCGCTCCTCCGGTACCCCTGCCCCCCCCTGGTCCTGCCCCGTCTGGTGTGTCCCACGCTACCCCTCTCCCCTCGGTCGCGCGTCAGGTAGCGTCTCCCTCCCCGCAGTCCTCCTCACAGTCCCCTCAGCAGCCTTCGGCACTTCCGCGACAGGTTACTGTGGACTCGGTTGGTGTTGGAGCTGGAGGTGCAGCCGCTGGCGGTGCTCGGTCTGGGGGTGCTCGGTCGCGGGGTACTGGAGCTGGAGGTGCTGGCGCAGGTGGCGCTAGCTCTGGGGGTGCTGGAGCTGGAGGTGCCGGCACTGGAGGTGCTGGTTCTGGGGGTGCTGGAGTTGGGGGTGCTGGCACTAGCGGTGCTAGTTCTGGGGGTGCTGGAGTTGGAGGTCCTGGCACTGGCGGTACTGGTTCTGGGGGTGCTGAGTCTGAGGAGACTGACGCTGGAGACCCTGGTTCTGCGGAGTCCACCCCGCCCCCCCACCGCCACGACACGCATCTCCAGGCTGCCCGTCGGTGTGAGCGTGAGGAGCAGGAGCGGTTGGAGAGGGAGCGGCAGGAGCTGCGGGTGCTGGACCTTCTGGAGCAGCAGCGGCAGCAGCAGCAGCAGCATCAGCAGCAGCAGCAGCAACAGCAGCAGCAGCAGCAGCAGCAGCAGCAGCAGCAGCAGCAGCAGCAGCAGCCGCTGCAGCAGCATCAGCATCAGCAGCAGCCGCAGCCGCAGCAGCCGCAGCCGCAGCCACAGCCGCAGCAGCAGCAGCAGCCGCAGCCGCAGCAGCAGCGGCCGCAGCCGCCACCGCAGCTTCCTCTAGAGCGGCGGTTGTTCCCACCTATGAGTGGCCTGCGGGCCCTTGGCCTTTCCTCCTCTCCTCGTGTCCGCTCCCAGTCTCCTCCTGTGTTTGTTCCTCCGTTGCCTCCTCCTGACGACCGTCCGGCGGCCTGGTCTTCTCCTCCTCCTCAGTCTCCTCCTCCCTCTGTCCGTCGCGACTTGATCACTCGTTGTCCTCCGCGTGCTCGTCACTCGTCCCCTGTTACTGACCTCCACACTGCCCTCCTTTGTTCGTCTCGTCGTCGTTCTCCTTCTCCTGTGTCCGTTCTCCCGTCTCCTCCTCCGTCCTCTCTACCTGCCCTCCCCACTCCTATCTCTGACTACTACCGCGCTGTTCGTCCTGTTGCCGCACGTGTCCTCACCACTCTTGTCACCGACCCTCGTTTCCCTCCGTCGTCTGTCTCGGCTCTGCTGCCGCCAGCCGCCTTGACTACGCCACCCGTGTGGTGCCAGCTCCTCCCTACCGTCCTCTGTCCGTCGGGGGTGGGTTTGCCCTTGGCTGTGACGTCCTAGAGGACAGAGAGTCTGAGCTGGAGTACTGGGCAGCCGCTTCTCCCTCTGTGTGTGCCATGCTGCTCTCCCCTGAGGGAGACCCCGACGCCCTTGACATACCGACTCCTCGCACTTACCGCGAGGCAGTGTCAGGGGCGTGGGCCTCTCAGTGGAAAGCGGCTATGGACTCAGAGTTGGCGTCTTGGAGATCCACAGGCACCTACGTCGACGCAGTTCCCCCTCCCAGGGCGAACGTAGTCGATGGCATGTGGCTCTTCAAGGTGAAGCGGCCGCCTGGAGCACCGCCGGTGTTCAAGGCGCGCTACGTGGCTAGGGGTTTCAGTCAGCGTGAGGGAGTTGACTTCTTCCAGACCTTCGCCCCGACCCCGAAGATGACTACTCTTCGGGTGTTACTCCACATAGCAGCGCAGCGAGACTACGAGCTAACTTGAAGCAAAAATCTAGCCGAACTGGTAATTGGCACAAGTTGATGGGCCTGCTCCCGCTTCCCTGTGAATGCTTTTTATGCTGATTGCATTAGCAGGTCTTTGAACTCATCCACATAACATGCTTCTGTGTAGCACCAATTTTTATACAGTGTGTTAAGTTACACGCATGGCTATATGAACCGCTGGATGGATGTGTGAAGTACTCAACTTCTTTGTTGCTGATAATGTTTTTATGCTGATTTCTATGGATATTTATGCCTTTAGGGACATTATTTTTTGCAATTATGCTGCTTTGTACGCATGCATCTCTGTCACGAAACATTTTTTCCAACATTTTTTTTGTGAAATGACCCTAACTCATCGGACTAAACTAGAGATTACCGTGGATATGTAGTTGACGAATTAGATATTTATTATTGTTCCCTCTATGCTTGAAATCGTCCAAAGCGTATGATAACGTTTATAATCTCCAACTTTGGAGGCTCATAAAGCTTGTAAATTTGATAAAAACAGGTTGCTTATTTTGTGGATCAAAATCGCAAACGGTGTGTCTTCAAGGGAGGAGGATCCTAGCCGCGAGCCGACATTTCGTAGGGTCGTTCCAATGACGAATTTCTTCCGCCAAGCACCCAGCCAGAGTTTTCAGGGGTACATGCGACATTGACTTTCAAGCACTTGACCCCCGTCAAAGCTGGACGGAGAGTACTCGGCGTGATAAGCGTATCGTGTAGACATGGATGGTGTGTGAAAAGTGGTGATCGTTGCTTTGATAGCGTAGCAATTTCGCGAACCTGCTAAGCACAGTATGGTTCTGTATCGCCGCATCCGCAAGCTCTTGAAAGGGGAAATTCTTCCCTAAATCCTGCACAAGCAGGGTTAGGTTGGTCGCTGTCTTGATATGGCTGGGTGCTCCAGATTCCCCTGACCGTATCCAGCAACCCCTCACTGTGCCATTGACATCTGCCAGACTGGATGTTGCCACCGGCCATCAAACACGGCCCAGAGCCAATGATTATTTTAGACGTACACTGGCAATGAGCTGGCTGATTGCTGCATGTCCACCTGATCTAGATGCTGTATTGTTTTTTGTGGAGTCGCCGAGCCAGAGAGGCTTGGGAGAAGGCCAGGTGAACGGTATGGAAGGATAAGATCTGAGGCGAGATGGCGGTTTTTAATGGCTGCGATGTGCGGACGACTCTGGGAAACGTATTTTTATTCATCTGCAACCTGCTCTTTATGTCGTGTGATCTGACGTTTTGTCAGCTTGCGAGACAATTTTTGGTTTTGGTCAGAGTTGCTGGGTTGATCAAATGTACACTGTTCTGTACATTTGTGTAACACTACAGTATTCAGCCTCTACAGTCATTGCAGCGAAGTCTTGCAAGATGATTTGCCGGGTCTCAGATGATTTGCGTCTTTTACTGGTGGACCGTCCGTGCATAGCTTAGACCACCAATCAACGCAGCAAAAACAAGGAAATTGGCTCTTAGCAGCGTATTCCCCAAACCGAGTTACCCTAGGGCAGAACTGTACAGTAACGGCAAGAAACGGGTTTGTTGAATCCGTTATTCTCCAGGCATAACTACAACCGCACCGCATCACATCTTGGACCTGACCTGCCCTGGGTTTCACAAATCAACGGAAATTTGTGTACAGTATAGAGTGGATTGGTCAGGGTCCTCACAAATCAAAACGCTAGGTGTGGTAGGCATAGGTGTAGCGAGGTACGAAACCCATGTACGTTTCTGTGCAGAAATTCTAGCAGGAGGATACGACGACACGACCCAATTGCTTGTTTGGTCCAAGCGAGGATAGTACTGTACTGTATTGCAACTCCACCCAGCTGTGCTCTCTCGCCGGGATTGCGGTACACGCTGTCTGTTGTGATGTGAAGTGAACCTCAGTTGCGACAACTGGAAAAGAGATTGATTTCTCCTTCTTCCCTGTGCCACAGGAGGCGAGACGATCCTTGATCTCTCCTCCATCACCTCCGACTTCGAGCTGCTGTATGAGATCGCTGTAGGGAAAAGAGTAGAGTGCTTTGAGTGTCTAACTGAGATGATTCTTGGAGTTCATACCGCTGTGTGTGATCTTAGCAGGAGCCTGATGGACGAACACCATTCTCTGTGGTGGGTACCGCATCATTTTGGTTCGGTATTCCGGAAGTTTTTTATGTTGCTTCGTCCACCCATCGTTTTTTGTTTTTGTTTTTTGCTTTGCTTTTCTTTTCTTCTTTGTTTGGTTTGTTTGTTTTGCTTCTGATTTCTTTTTTGTTTCCCCCCCTTGTCCACGGATGTTACGGTTGCGGCATCATGTGCGTGGACCTTACGTGTTACAATCACGATGCGCAGGGATGCGACGCAACCATGGCATTTCGAAGAGTCCACGTGGCAATTGCCCGAATCATTACCACTGGCAGCAGATTTACATCATCATGCCACCTTGGATCCAATCCCAACCCCGATCGATCCATTCGCGCTGCGAGATTTCTTGGACGGTCAGCACGAAATGGGACACCATGACCACGACGGCAGTTTAACGGAGCATCCTCTAGCGAATCGTCCGCCAGAATCTCAAAATAATGCAGCCGACGATGAATCGCGCTTTGACGAGGGATTCAGAAATTACAATATCACCCATGGTTCCCTCGGTGTCACTACTACAACCACTCCTACTATAATTTTGGTCGGTTCGCACTATGTTCATGGTGATCATGATACAGAGCAGAATAATGTTCCGCAACAGGGGCGTTCAGTTTTCGGGGCTGATTTGATGAGGGCAGGGCAAGCGCAAGGGCAAGGGCAAGGCCAAGCGCAAGGGCAAGGGCAAGCGCAAAGGCAAGGGCAAGCGCAAAGGCAAGCGCAAGGCCAAGCGCAAGAGCAGGCGCAAGCGCAAGGACGGGTTCAAGCGCAAGGGCAAGGGCTAGAGGGGGATCGGAGTCTGGAGCAGCCTCTGGCGGCGTTGCCGCAGCAACTCGGTTGGGAGGGATTCGTTGCTCCGCCGGTGTTCCCCCCGGCAGATCCTGAAGGCGGAGGGTTGGGTGGGTCAGGGGGAATGGGCGGAATGGGCGGAATGGGCGGAATTGGCGGAATGGGCGCAATGGGCGGCGGCGGCAGTGGTCGAATTGGTAAGCGGAGCAAAGGGGGGCTTGGAGACACGTGGGGAGGCGGCGAAGGGGCAGGAGGAGGGGGAGGAAGAGAGGGAGGTAGTATTAACCGCGTGGCTGTGGCTGTAACGACAACACCGGCTGCAGCCGCTACAGCCGTAGTGCCTCTGCCGGCTGCAGCGACCGTGCCGGCTGTAGCCACCGTGCCGGCTGTAGCAGCTACAGCGGAGTGGAACATGGACTTGCTGAGCGCGCCGCTGAGCTCGAGCATGCAGCAGCGGAAGCAGCAGCAGCGATCGTCACCGTCGGGTCTTGAGACGTCTCAAAACTTGCTGAGCGCGCCGCTGAGTTCGAGCCTGCAGCACCAGAAGCAGCGCAAGCAGCACCGATCGTTACCGTCAACTCGAGCGTCGTCAGGGTCGCCGCAAGTCTCGGTAACAGATGCTGCTGCTGCTGCTGGCGGTGCTGCTACTTCTGCTGGCGCTGCTGCTGCTGGCGGTGCTGCTACTTCTGCTGGCGCTGCTGCTGCTGCTACTTCTGCTGCTGCTGCTGCTGCTGCTGCTGCTGCTGCTGCTGCCACGGTTGCTTCTCCTGGTCTTGCCGCCGTGTCCCCTGTTGCCGCAACCCCTTCCCCCGCCATTGCTCCTCCCTTCATCTCTTCAGCCGCCCTCACCTCTTTCGCTGATAGCACCGGCCCTACTGTTGCTGCTGCTGTTGGTGGTGGCGGTAACAGTAGCAGTGGTGTCAAGGAGGGAGGAGTACTTAGTGGTTCGGGGGGACTAGAGCTTGGGCCTCGCAGGAAACCAGTGGACTTAGCTAAGCGTCTGGCTAGTGCGGTTAAGTATCAGAAGCAGCAGGTGTCTAGAGCGCAGTCAAATCCGCAGCCGCAGCAGCAGCAGCAGCAGCAGCAGCAGCAGCAGCAGCAGCAGCTGCAGCAGCAACTGTCGCAGCCGCTGCAGAGCCAGCAAGCAGATGAGAGACAGCAGGTAGCGCAGCAGCAGCAGCAGCAGCAGCAGCATCAGCAACAACAAAAGCAACTGCAGCAGCAGCACGATCAGCTATGGGAGGCGCTGCAAGGGTGGCCGCAAGCACAGCACCATCAGATGCAGCGGCAGGAGCAGGGGCAGCAGCAAGGGCAGCAGGCGGGAAGTAGAGTGACGGATTCTCTTTTGCTTGCGCTGGTGAGACGGCAGCTGTCGGGACAGGAAACAGAGCTAGCGCAGCGAGGCCAGGACCAGCAGAGGGAGAAGCAGAATCAGCAACAGCAGCAACCGCAGCAGGAGCAGCAGCAGCAGCAGGAGCAGCAGCAGCAGCAGCAGCAGCAGCAACTATACCAGCAGCAGACTCAGCAGCCGCAAGCACAACAGCCGCTACAACCGGCACAACGGGCGCTACAGCCGTCCAAGCGGCCGCTACAACCGTCCCAGTTCGATTTAGAGTTCCCATTCGCTAGCATTGACTCTATGCGCGCAGCAGAGATGGAAGCACTGGAAAAGGCTATTACAGGGTTCTCACGGGGTGCTTCTAACGAGGATAGGCTCGCTGTAGGGTCTGGTGGGTTGGCAGTAGGTTCGGGAGAGAGGAGCAGGTTTGGTGTGGTTGGGATGACGGGCCAGGGCTGGAGCGGTGGTGGTAGGGGCGATGCCAGTGCTGCTGCTTGTGGTCATGCTGGTGTTGGTGGTAGTGGTGGTTTGAGTGGCATTCGTGGTGGTGGTGGTGGTAGTCGTGATAGCACCGCTGCCGCTGCTGCTGCTGCTGCTGCTGCTGCTGCTGCCAGTGGTGACGGTCATGAGGCGCTTCAGAATCGGACAGGAGGAGGAGGGAGGGACTTGGCGTCTGAACTGGCGTCTCTGGTAGGGAGAGCCAGCTCTGGTGAGAGCGGTGGGGTCATGCAAGTTGACGGTAATGAGGAGGAGGTGCTGGAAAATAGGGCAGGAGGGAGGGATTTGGCGTCTGAATTGGATTTCCTGGCAGGCGGAGGCAGCACGGAGAGAAGTGGTAGTTCCGAGCGGGTAGAGGGTTCTGGGGCTTTAATGTCAGCATCAGGGGCTTTAGTGCCAGCTGCAGCAGCAGCAGGGGCAGCCGCAGCAGCAGGGGCAGCAGAGGGAGCAGGGGCGGCTGGGGCAGCAGCAGCAGGGGCAGCCGCAGCAGCATCAGAAGTAACAGGGGCAGCGGCAGCAGGTTCTGATCTGGTGCTGTTTCCCCCAGGCTCTTTCGCAGATACCAGGAAATACTCTGTTGACCCTTCAGTGATGCGAGCTTTTGATTCCGCAACCCAGGCAGCAGCAGCAGCAGGAGCAGGAGCAGCGGGAGCAGGGGCAGGAGTAGGAATAGGAGCAGGATTAGGAGTAGGAGCAGGAGTAGGGGTAGGAGCAGGAGCAGGTTTAGAGGTAGATAATCGATTTGGGGTAGCCCCAGCAGCAGCAGGCAGAGCAGCTGCGGACCCATTCAGTATAACCCCGTTCGATACAAGCACACGTCAGCAGCAGCGCACGCTGACAGATGCGTTTACAGTCACGCCAGTGGTCGGCGCGCCAGGTGGCGCGTCATCATTGGAGCAGCGGCTGAGAGGGACCCTAAGAGCAGGACGGCAGCAGCAGCAGCAGCAACAAATCAACCAACTAAGAATCAATCACCCGAGTGCGAATCCGAGTGTGAACTCGAATGTGAATCAGTCAGGAGTGACTCAAATGAGGGCTATTCAGCCGAAGCAGAACCACCAACCAGGAGTGATTCAACCGAGAGTGATGGAGCAGCAGCAGCAGAGAGTGATTCACCTGAGAGGGGAGCAGCAGCAGCAGAGAGTGGAAGCGGTGCCGAGGGCAGTGAGTGAGTTTGGAGACTCGGAGAGTGTGCGGGACCTTGCGAGTGGGAGAGTGTCCGATGAAGGGTTGCAACAAGACTTGCTGCAGCTGGCTGAAGCCGTGGCCACGGGGGACCAGGTGAGAGGAGTTGCGATCAGGTGGGTGCATCCGTAGTGTGGGTTAGGCAGGTGAGTGCGAGTGGGAGGAGGGTTTCCGATGAGATGCTGCAACAAGACCTGCTGCAACTCGCTGAAGCCGTGGCCACAGGCGACCAGGTGAGAGTGGGGAGAGAGAGGTGAGAGAGGGCAGTGAGTGAGTTTGGAGACTCGGAGAGTGTGCAGGACCTGTCGAGTGGGCGAGTTTCCGATGAGATGCTTTTGAGTCGACTCAAAAGTGGGGGGGTTTCCGATGAGATGCTTCAGCAGGACCTGCTGCAACTGGCTGAAGCCGTGGCCATGGGCGACCAGGTGAAGGGAGAGTGGGGAGAGGGGCGACCAGGTGAAGGGAGAGTGGGGAGAGGGGCGACCAGGTGAAGGGAGAGTGGGGAGAGGGGCGACCAGGTGAAGGGAGAGTGGGCGAGTGGGAGGGTTTCAGATGTGGGGTTACAACAAGACCTGCTTCAACTGGCTGAAGCCGTGGCTACGGGGGACCAGGTAGGTCTAACTCGTCTGTGTGGGTGGGGGGTTGAGGCAGGTGAGTGAGAGTGGGAGGGTGTCAGACGAGGGGTTGCAGCAGGACCTGCTTCAACTGGTTGAAGCTGGCGCTACAGGGGACCAGGTGAGGGGACTTTTGAGTCGACTAAAAGTCACCTCGTTTTGGGTCGACTCAAACGTCACTGGTTGAAGCCGTGGCTACAGGGGACCAGGTGAGGGGAGAGGGATGATGAGGAAGATTCAACTGATCAAAGCACACCTGGTGATTTTGACAGGCGTCTGCGTCCGCTCTCCTCCCCCCGCGGCACGCCCATGCAGCGCGTCTCGTCTCCCGCTACCTCCTCACCCTGTGCCTCTCCCTGTCCCTCTCCCTCTCCCTCTCCCTGTGCCTCTTTTGCACTCCCGCCCCCACACTACAGCCGCGTATGGTGGCTTTGACTCGTCGCCTGCGTCCGCTGTCCTCCCCATACGGCACGCCCATGCAACGCGTCTCCCACTACCTGCTCACAGCCCTCGCCAAGAGGGCTGCTGGGGCGCTGGGGACCGACTACATTGCTTATCTCAGCCGCGCGCCTGAGGTGAGATGGGGGTGCTGATGGGGAAAGTTGTTGTTGCTGCTACAGCTGCTGCTGTCTCCCACTACCTACTCACCGCCCTCGCCAAGAGGGCTGCAGGCGCCCTGGGAACCGACTACATTGCATATTTGAGCCGCGCTCCAGAGGTGAGAGGGGTGTGTGCATGATGCTTCAGGAGTTGCTGAGGTGATAATGATGTGTTGCTGTTGAAAGGAATGCTTGATGTTGGTGCTGAAGGGGGAAAGCTGTTGGTTCTGCTGCTGCTGTCTCCCACTACCTGCTCACTGCCCTCGCCAAGAGGGCTGCAGGCGCCCTGGGGACAGACAGTCTACACGGCCTATCTGAGGTGAGATGGCAGTGAGATGATGTTGGTGCTGAAGGGGGAAAGCTGTTGGTTCTGCTGCTGCTGTCTCCCACTACCAAGAGGGCTGCTGGGGCGCTGGGGACGGATTAGATCGCATACTTGAGCCGCGGCGCGCTCCAGAGTTGGCGCCGGTGGTGCCATCTCATGCCTCCCTACCACCTGCTCACTCACTCCCCTCGCCACTACCACCTGCTCACTCACTCCCCTCGCCACTACCACCTGCTCACTCACTCCCCTCGCCACTACCACCTGCTCACTCACTCCCCTCGCCACTACCACCTGCTCACTCACTCCCCTCGCCACTACCACCTGCTCACTCACTCCCCTCGCCACTACCACCTGCTCACTCACTCCCCTCGCCACTACCACCTGCTCACTCACTCCCCTCGCCACTACCACCTGCTCACTCACTCCCCTCGCCACTACCTTTGGATCTAGCTGCAGGCTGCCTGGGAACCGCCCTGAGAACCCCCCTGGGAATCCCCCTGGGAGCCTCCCTGGGAGCCTCTCCTTCCTCTCCTCCATTCGCCCTTCCTATCTTCAATCACCCTTCCCTATCCCCCATTTCGTTTTGAGGCGCGTCAACTAGACCTATCTTCAATCACCCTTCCCTCTCCCCCATCTCAATTCTGACCTTGACACATGCGCTGACCTTCTTCCCTGCATCCCTCTCCACCCCTTTCCACCGCAGGAGGAGGCGTTGATCCTGACCATTGCAGCGCCCTGTCCTGCAGACCTACCATCTCACATGCGCTCCCCTCCCCTCCATCCCTTTCCTCCCCTCTTCATTCATCCCCGTTCCTCTCCATCCCTCTCCACCCCTCTCCACCACAGGAGGAGGCGTTGATTCTGGCCTTTGCAGCGCACTGCCCCACGCTGCAGTTCTGCTACTCCGCCCTGGCCTGTGCCATGCTGGTGAGGCGTGCAGAGTGGTGGTGAGGCGTGCAGAGTGGTGGTGAGGCATGCAGAGTGGTGGTGAGGCGTGCAGAGTGGTGGTGAGGCGTGCAGAGTGGTGGTGAGGCGTGCAGAGTGGTGGTGAGGCGTGCAGCTTGGTGGTGAGGCGTGCAGAGTGGTGGTGAGGCGTGCAGCTTGGTGGTGAGGCGTGCAAAGCAGTGGGAAGGCGTGTTGAGTGGTGGTGAGGCGTGCAGAGTGGTTGTGAGGCGTGCAGAGTGGGTGGGGAATGTCGAGTGGTGGTAGGTAGGGAGTGAAGAGGGCTGTTAGGGGCTGCAGAGTGCTGGTAAGGTGTGCAGAGTGGTGGTGGTAGGGAGTTACGAGTGGTGGTAAGGAATGTGCCTTACGGCTGATTCGCCTTCCGTTTAAAACCTCCACTCTTCCTCCACCCACCAACCTCTCTACCTAACCCCCCTTCCCATTCTCCGCCCTGTTTTTCCCGCTCTCTCGTTCTCCCTCTCCTCCTCGCTCTTTCTAGCTCTACCCTCCCCTCCCCTTTCTCCCTCCCCTTCTCCCGTTCGCTCCACAGGATGCAGCAGAGGGAGGACAAGCCCAACATCCACATCGTCTACCTTTGAGGCGCCTCAAAAGTACCATGCGAGCATCAGTGCAACTCCTCTCTCCCCCGCCCCAACCCCCCAACCCCCCCTTGTCCCCCTTCTTCTCAACCCCTTTCCCTCTACAGGATGCAGAGAGGACGAGTCCAACATCCACATCGTCGTCAATAACTCCCCCCTTCCCCCTCTCTCCCCCCCCCTCTCCCCCTTTCTCCCCCCTCCCCCTCCCCCTCCCCCTCCCCCCCTTCCATTCTCTCCTCGCTTCCCCCTGCTTACCTCCGTCTTTCTAACCCCTTCCTGCCCCCCTTCCCCTCCACAGGATGCGGCAGAAGATGAGACCAACATTCACATCGTCGACTTTGCCATGTGGGCATCAGTGCAACACCTCTCTCCCCGCCCTTTACCCCCCCCCCCCCCACCCCTCCTTGTCCCCCTTCTTCTCAACCCCTTTCTCCCGGCAGGACGCAGCAGAGGACGAGACCAACATTCACATCGTCGACTTTGCCATGTGGGCGGGCCAGTGGCCAATCGTCATCCGCCAGCTGGCGGCAGCTGCCCGGAAAAGAATGGCCGCTGCAGCCGTTACCATCAAAAGCCTTAACAACAGCAGCAGCAGTAGCATCGGTGGCGGCGCTGGTGTCAGTACTAGTACAGCTGCTACCACTAGCCAGGGTTCCCAATCACCATCCGCCTTCTCCTCTCCCTCCCACCCCTCGCCTTCCCAACCAGCCTCCACCCACCACTCCCCCTCACCCTCTTCCTCCCCTTCACCCGCACCCATGCAAGGTCCGTCCACCTCCGCTCCCTCTCCCATCCCTCCCTCCTTCCTCCGAATCCGATTCACAGCTGTAGACCCTCCCTTTGGTCACCCGTATGGGACCGGCCTGAAGCTTCCTGCGGCTTTCCTGCAGGCTGAGCTGGCACGGGCGGCGCAGGAGTGCGGCGCGAGCTTGTCCTTTTCCCGGGTGGAGGCGGCGCCGGAGACGCTGCGGGCGGCGGCGATTGGAGTGGAGCGGGGGGAGTGTGTGCTGGTGAATATTGCTGGGCGGCTGGCGTGTGTGGCAGACTCAACAGTGCTGAGACACAGCCCAAAGGATACAGCAATAAAGGTAAGAGAGAATGGTTTTGAGAATTCTTCGCTTTCTTCTTTTCTACTGATGTCAGGAACTACTTTACCTACTATAAGTTGTCTCAAACCAAAATCCATGATCAAATAACAAACTCGAAATCACACTAATTCAACAGTCAATAAAACTGTAGCTGCTTTTGATTTATTAGTTCCTAGAGTATTCTCTTTTGAGAGATTTTGAGAATTCTTAAAAGCGACTTCGGTAAAACTAACTAAAAATTGAGGGAACTTGAATCCGGGAACAGTGGTGAGACACGGCCCATACAGTAGTGAAGGTGAGAGGGAGAGGAGTGATGGTAAGGTACTGCAGAATGTAGACGAGTGTGCCTAAGAATAGAGCACTTGCAATGAGTGCCCAGTGCTGAGAGTGTGGCTGGGCGACTGGTTTGTGTTGGAGACTCCAGTCCCAAGACATAATCTCGAAATTACGCCCTCGCCTCGCGCTTCTCCCCTTCTCCCGACGACAAGCTCTCCGCTTCCCTCCAAAACAACCCCCCCTCCAGCTTATCGCACACTTCCATTCTCACTTTCCCCAGTCCACCCCCCTCCCCACTCCCCCCTTTCTCCCTTTCTCCCCCAGGCCATCATGCAGCTAGACCCAAAGGTGGTCGCTCTAGTGGAGACTCCAACCAGCATCAGCCCTTCTTCCTGCATCGCTTCCGAGACGCCCTTCTCTTCTTCCACAACATCTTCGCCTCTCGCCTCTCCCTTCTCCCCGGTCCCTCCAACACGAGCTCTCCTCTTCCCTCCAAACCCCCTCTCCTCTTCTCACCGCACACTGCCGTTTCCATTCTCCCCCGTTCCTTCCTTCCTCCCTCCTCCCTCCCCTTCCCCCCTCCAGGCGATCATGCAACTAGACCCAAAAGTAGTTGCTCTGGTCTCCTTCGGCCGCCGCGGCTTCGAAGAGTTTGTTCTCGCACGGGAAATGGTGAACCTGGTAGCGTGCGAGGGCATGCAGAGGCTGGTGCGAGCAGAGAGTTTGGACCAGATGCATGCGCGGATGGGGAGGTTGGGGGTGGCGGCACGGGCGTTCAGCAAGAGGAGCATGTGGGGGTTGAACAGCAGGGGGGCGTGCGGCTTCTGTGGAGCGGCAAGTCGATTCTGGGTGCTTCTGCTTGGACCCCTGGGAGAAGAAGGGAGGGGATGAGATGGAATTGGGAAGGGAATTAGGGGGACTAGGGGAGGGGATGAGGAGGAGGGGGGCAGGAGGGGATGTGGTCAGAGTGCGGTTATGAGGAGGAGAGAGGAGGTGAGGAGGGGATGGTGGCACGAGTAGCAGGCTATCACAGCAGGGCAGCAGCAGAGCGGCTGAGCAGTAGAGCAGCAAGTACGTAATAGCAGAGCAGTAGAGAAGCAGGGCGGCAGGGCAGCAGAGGAGTATTAGCAGCAGCAGGAGCAGCCGGTAGAGATGTTTGGGCAGCACACAGGGTGGGGCAATCAGCAACAGCAGCACGTGTTCCTGTCGTTATTGTGATGTCTAAATAGCAGCAGGGCAGCAGGGCAGCATAGCAGCAGGCCAGCAGCAGGAGCAGCAGCTGGGGATGTCTGAAGCAGCACACAGGGCGGGGCAATCAGCAACAGCAGCAGCAGCAGCACGTGTACCCAGTCTCAAGCCCTTTGGTTTTTGTGCTCCATCATTTTTTTCCAGCCGTTTCACCATCTCGGCTGGTGGTACCGGATAGCACCGCGTTGCACCGTTCACATGCAAAGGACTTTGGAGACGTCTCAGAAGTGCGTCATTTGTTTCCAGCCGTTTCACCATCTCCGCTGGTGGGACCGACTGGGTAGCACCGCGTTGCACCAGCTCAGCTTCTGCAGCAGTTGCGTTGCAATGTTTGATCCCCTCTCTCATGGTCCTAGAGGGGGCCCATACTCATACTCCAGCTGTGTTGTTCCAAGGGTAGGGCTACAATAGTATAAAGCTGGGACTAGACTAGATCCCATCCTTAGTAACGGGAATGCATTGCAATTTGAATAACCAGTGCTGCGAACATCTGTTGTCCCAGCTAGCTAACAGAATAAGGTAGGAAAATGATTTCCTCCATAACACAAATCCAGTTTCCAATTAGGATAATGTTCTGGAGTCTGGACAGGATACGTTCTGATATGCCTTGCTGAGCAAGCACTCTGCTTTTAGGCCTTAGCAGGAGGAACTTTCTCGAGGAGCTCGGGCAGCACTTGAAACAAATCTCCCACCAGCCCGTAATCTGCGACCTGGAAGATCGGAGCATCTGCATCCTTGTTAACGGCCACGATCGTTTTGGAATCTTTCATGCCCGCCAGGTGTTGAATCGCGCCCGAAATCCCAAAAGCCATGTACAGGTCTGGTGCGACGATTTTTCCGGTCTGCCCGACTTGCAGGTCGTTGGCTACGTAGCCTGCATCCACAGCTGCCCGGGAGGCACCCACTGGCAAGAAGTACAAAAAAAGTGTGGGAAAGGAGTACAGCAAGAGAGGGGAAGAGTACAGTTATGGAGAATGTAGTTTTGTTATTTCACCCACCGGGCGGGCACCAGGCACACACCAGGCATCGGAGGGAAGAATTACTCCCAACCCAACTGACTGGCATACCGTAATCGAATCCATGTGTTTGGCATTTCATTCACTCTGGTTTTTGCTTACCTGCCCCTCCCAGTTTGTCCACCGGCTTCTCCAGTAGCTAGCTTGAACTTTTCTTTGCTCCCTGCTTGCTTACACCATGCCCAGTCCAGCTTGTATACTTCTTACTCAGTCCAGCATTTGATTCCAGCCCTCACCTGCCCCTCCCAGTTTGTCTGCTAGTTGCTCCAGAAGCTTAAAGTTTTCTTCGCTCCTTGCTTGCTTACACCATGCCCAGTCCAGCTTGTATACTTCTTACTTACTCCAGCATTTGATTAAAACCCTCACCTGCCCCCCCCAGTTTGTCTGCTAGTTGCTCCAGCAGCTTGAAGTTTTCTTCGCTCTTTAGCCCCCGCCCGCCTGCAATTACAACTTTTGAGCTGCCCAGGTCCGGCCGGTCAGCTGCCCGCAACTCCTGCCCGACCCAGGACGAATTTTCGGCTGCGGGGGCTGGGAACATGGGGAAGAAGGGGGCAAGAAGGGGGCAAGAAGGGGGCAAGAAGGGGGCAAGAAGGGGGCAAGAAGGGGGGCAAGAAGGGGGCAAGAAGGGGGGCAGGAAGGGGGGCAGGAAGGGGTAAAGAAGGGAAGGAGAAGGGCAGAAGAAGGTTTATTGCAGAAAAACGGCTCGCTTTGAGGCACCTAAAACAATCCGCTGGGGGGGCTGGGATTATGGAGGGAGGAAGAGGGGAAGAAAGGGGGAAGAACGGGGGAAGAACAGGGGAAGAAGGGGGGAAGTAGGGGGAAAAGGGGAGGAAAAAGGGAGGAGAAGAACGGGAAGAAAGGGAGGGGAAGAAAGAGGAGAGGGAGGCGGAGGCAGGGAAGGAGGTGGTGGGGAGCCGGGACAGAGAGGGGATGGGCATTGGGATGGAGGCAGAGGGGATGAGGCAACGAACTGTGTCTAACTAGAAAGAACTTATATGAGGCAACAAAAGAGCGTGATAAAAACAGTGTTTTGAGGTACGTCTCAAAACACTGCTTTTATGTCTTGGGGGCAGAGCGGGACGGAGAGGAGGAGGAGGAGGAGGCAGGAGGGAAGGAGGTGGCGTGGAGTGCACTGTGAGCAGCGTTGGGATGGCAGAGGAAGGGGGTGGAGCAGCGCACAGTGTCTGGCTAGAGCGTACCTTGGAAGTCAAACGGCGTGGTCTTGGGAGCAGAGGCGGCTGAGGAGGAGGAGGCAGGGAAGGAGGTGGCGCGGACTGTGAGGAGTGTTGGGGTGGTGGGAGAGGGGGTGGAGCAGCGCACAGTGTCAGTCTAGAGCGTAGCTTGGAAGTCAAAAGGCGTGCTCTTGGGAGCCGTGGAGGATTCAGAGGAGGAGGAGGCAGGGAAGGAGGTGGCGCGGACTGTGAGGAGTGTTGGGACGGCAGGGGAGGGGGTGGAACAAGCACAGTACAGTGCAGACAGCTCACCGGAAGAGGCAGATAGATAGTACCTTGGAGTGCGAGGAGAGGGGAAAATAGTACCTTGGAAGTCGAAAGGCGTGGTCTTGGGAGCAGTGGAGGATTCAGAGGAGGAGGCGGAGGAGGAGGCAGGGAAGGAGGTGGCGCGGACTGTGAGGAGCGTTGGGACGGCGGGGGAGGGGGTGGAGCAGCGCACAGTGGCTAGAGCGTTCCCTGCATAGATTGGACTGGGGGGGAAAGGAAGGGCGGGGGGAGCAGCACGGAAGACGGAACAAGGGAGGGTGGAGGGGGAGGGGAGGGGGATCAGGGGAGGGAAAAAAGGTGTGGAGTAGGGCACTGTGGCTAGAGTTTCCAGCGTAGAATGGGCTGGGAGGGAAAGGGGCACGCAAGCACGCACACACACAAGCGCGCACGCACGCACGTGTACGTCCCTGTGCGTGCGTGTGTGCGTGCTTGTGAGCAGGAAAGCATGTGAGCACGTGGGAAGAAGGGAAAGCGGGGTAAAGGGGAGAATGAAGGTGTGGAGTAGGGCACCGTGGCTAGAGCGTCTCCAGCGTAGAGTAGAATGGGCTTCGGGGGAAAGGGGCGGGGCGGAGGAGAACGCACTCGCACACACACAAGCACGCAAGCACACATGCACACACACGAGCACGCACGCACACACACACACAAGCACGCAAGCACACACACACGAGCACGCACGCAAGAACACACTCACATCCCTCTGAACTCGCTCCAAACGCTTACTTAGTAGCACCCCTCCCTCCCATCCCCTCTCAATACCTCTCCCCTCCCAGGCTCCCCTCCCCTCCCCTCTCCCCTCTCCTGTCTTCCCCGCCCCCATCCTCACCGCACAAAGGTCGTCTCATCCACGATTTCAACCACGTCAGACACCATCGCAGCGTCCAATAGCGCGGCGACACGTGGCAGCACGTTACGGGAGAAGGTGGACGAGGCGGCAAGGACGTGCGAGAACGACCGCTGGGCGGCGAGGTTTGTCAGTAGCGCCGCCAGGGGCTCGGGCAGGGCGTGGTCCAGGGCGGGACTCTCTGTTGTAATCACCTGAGAAGATGACAACAAGGGAGCGAGGTGGGGATGGGGTACGTACCTTTTGGACCAAAGAGCCTGTATTATTTTGAGGGCATGGTTTTCATTGGGGACATAGTTTCCGATCTGCTTTCTGCTGTCAGGTCAGGTCAGGTGGTCTAATTTAAAGCGTAACCAGTCTTCTGATCGGACATACTTTTCCGCAATCAGAAGACTGTTGGTGACGCTTTAGATTAGACTGTAGTTGGGCTTTAAAGGACTGCGCCAGAGATCAGCACGAGCTTCTTCTTTCTGCGGGGATATAGTTTTCGCCGTTTTTTCACATGTTTGTTTGTTTGTTTGTTTTAATTCTTGTCGGAGTCTCTAAACTGAAAGCGTTCAAAAGACGGAATTCTCAGGCCACCCACCCACCTCATCCACCCCTTCGATCTTTGCCACAGCAGCTGCCACGTCAGCAACTGCCTCGCCACTCCCCGCCACCAGCACAGCCACGGGTCCGCCCAGTTTCCGCGCAGCCGCCACCGCGGAGAGCGTGGGCGGCTTCAGGGCCGCGGCGGAGCCCCCCGCGCCCCTCCCCGTGTGCTCCGCCACCACCAGCGTGCCGGCCTGTATGGGGAAGAGAGGGGGGAAGGGGAGTAGGTAAGGGGAGGCACAGCGGGTGGGGAGAGCGTGGGCGGCTTCAGGGCCGCGGCGGAGACCCCCGCGCCCCTCCCTGTGTGCTCCGCCACCACTAGCGTGCTGGCCTGCAGGGGACGGGGAAAGGGGGATAGAGGGGGGCATAGGCGGGTAAGGAGAGCGTGGGCGGCTTCAGGGCCGCGGCGGAGTCCCCCGCGTCCCTCCCCGTGTGCTCCGCCAGTACCAGCGTGCTGGCCTGTAGAGGACGGGAGAAAGAAGGGAAAGGGGGAAAAGGGGGAAGTGTGAAACCGGGGGAAACGGGAGCCGCGAAGGGCGGGGAGCGGTGGGGCAGAGAATCGGCGGGCCAGGCGGGGATTAAGGGGGTTGGGCTGTGGGTGCTAAGAAAACACGCCGAGAACGGGGAACGCGGCTTTGAGTGAAGCGCCTGAGAAACAGGCGGCAGGGAGTGGGCTTTGACGTGGCGGCGACGTTGTTACCGCGTGAGGGAGAACAACGAGTGAACCAACAATTAATGAAGCTGTGTAAGCGCATGGGAAACAAAAAAAAAAAAGCGCAGGTAGCGGGAGTGCAGACACTAAAGTTCGGCCATAGCGGCGTGCTCATCGGAAAACGTACATATTGCGAAAAAAGCTTACAATAACGCGTTCCGCCAGAATGCGGTCTAACGCCGAAAGCGTCTACTATGTGACTAACCCATCGAAGCGCGAGGACATTGAGGAGACTGCGTGGATGCGCGGCAAACCCGCTCTGGAACGACCCGGCAGCGCGATTTGCGGCGACGGACGCGCCGCTACTCCGCCTAAAATCGCCCGCGACGCGACGCAGAAGCGTGGTCATCTCTCGCTGGCAGCGGAGGGGGGACGGCGGAGGGCGGAGGGCGGATAGTGGAAGGCGGAGGGCGAAGTGCGGCGGACAACGGAAGGCGGAGAGCGGAGAGTGGAAGGCGGAGGGCGGAGAGTGGAAGGCGGAGACCGGTGAGCGGACTGATGGACTGGAGGGCGGAAATGGTTGGTTGAATGCGCGGATTAGTAGGCTAATTAGCGGGGTTGACGTGCGGGAGATGCGGCAGCTGGTCCGCGCGCTGCTATGAGCTGGTCTGTACTGCAACTCCTTGATACTGAATTACGCTTGCTGTGCTGCTAAGAGCTACCACACTGCAATCCTGGATACTGTAGTGTATCACTTTGGCTCTCCTGCTGCTGGTTCTTGTTCCCTTTCCTGCTGCTGATGAGTCAGCGCCACGTGGTTTCTAACAGCGTCGCGCTGTAAAGTTTTCGGCTGCCGCGAGTGACAGTGGCGGTTTGTGTGCTGCTCAGCACTTGCTGGCGAAAATGGCGAAGCTTTTGAAGACCACTGAGTGAGCGCGAAAAGGAAGGCCAGAAGCACTTCGCAGTCATCCCGAACTAGCACTTCTGTCAACAAACGTCGCTGTCGAATCTCCATTCAAGCTTACCGTTGTAAAGTCTTGGAGAAATAAGGCAGGTGTGTCGAAACAGAGTAAGCTTGTATGGAGTATTAATACCACTCAAGACTGCACTGCAACGTAGCTAACTGACGACAGTGCGCGAAGCGAGATGTAAGGAATTTTCCCGAATTCCTTATCGGGGTTGACTGCTACGCGTACAGCCCGATTTTCGGACTTTGCACGTTCGGCCGATTTCAACGCTGCCGAGGCTCCTCGCCTTCGGCATTTCCCATCGCCAAACCTGCACCCCAACCTCGCTCATCCGAGGTTTCCTCCTAGCTAGGCTAGCTCCTACATTAGTCTGTGCCTTCATTGTATTCTCAGTTCAGTTAATCACATTCTCGTTATTCGTTTACCTGCGCACTCTCTTTTACAACTCATAACACCTGGTATCAGAGTTACTTTTCTAGTTCACCCCGCTTTTCCGAGGGTAGTTTGGTGGCAGGAGGGTGTGGTTGGTTTAGTGACTACACGACGGTTGGTTGCAGGGATTGTTAATTCAATCCTGCCCGACTTCGATAGTTCGTGTTTTCACTTGCCTGGAGGCCACGGGTACCCGACTGCCCACCAGACGTAGCGCTAGGCACATGGATCAGGAGGAAGTCAACAAGATGATGGCACAAGTGGCAGAAATGCAGGCAAGCATGAGGACATTAATGGCGGAAGTGACAACGCTGCGAGAGGAAAACGCCGAGCTACGCCAGACGCGAGGTGAAGCGCGTCAGGAGTCGCCTGTGGACGAAGGCGAGGGCAACAGTCAAGCGATGAGCAATCCGCTGGATGCGCTCACACGTGACTTCGAAGAAGAGGACAGGCAGCGAGCGGCAGCAGCGCTAGTTGCAGTAACGACGATCAAGATCAAGCCCGTTAACCCACCCCCGTTTAATCCTACGGACAAGACGGTAACAGTAAAAGGGTGGCTGTTCGGGGTCGAGGTCTTCTTCACTGCAGCGGGAGTTAACGACGATGCCACGCGTATTAATTACGCGGTTTCGCTTCTTCGAGGTGCAGCGCTTGAATGGTGGCGCCGAACCTTGGAAACAGGGACGCCGACAGGTGTGACACATGCGACAGACGGGACCTCTACAGTGGTTAATCAAGTGGCAGAACCGATCTTCGGTGTGACCAAGATACGCACGTGGAAGGAGTGGGGCGCAGCCTTACGAGATCGCTTCGAGCACGTATCCGCCTCGGAGCAAGCTCGCATGAAGCTGCGTGCATGGTCGCAGATGGCCTCTGTCCAAGACTACACGGCGTCATTTATGGGCTTCGCCGACCAAATTGATGACATGTCGGAAGCAGAGCGGTTGGATAAGTACGTCAGCGGCCTTAAATACGAAATACAGTTTGAGGTTCGCAGGGGCCGCCCGACATCGTTTCTCGAAGCAGTACGGCTGGCGGAGTCAACTGATGCGCTGATGCAGTACGCGAGAGCAGCTTCCAGGGATGGGAGAAGCTTTCGTGGCCAGACCCATCGGGCCACGATCAACGCCGTCCATACACCCGACCGACCTCCTAAGGGGCCGTGTTTTCGGTGTGGGAAGACGGGTCACTACATGAGAGACTGCCACGAGAAAACGCCACTGACGGGGAACGACAGGAAGGAGCAGGGAAATGGGAAGAGTCAGTAATTAGCGGGCCCTTTACTGACTGTGCTCCGTCGCCCGAACACCACCATCCCCACCGAGTCGTGGTTCCGATTCATGCAATCGATCGCACTCGGCCGAATAACGGGGATACACATGTGGATCACCCTGTGCTGGTCGCTGGCAAGGTGTTAAAAAATAACTTGAAAATTTTCGTCGATGGAGGGGCCAGCCATAGCCTCTTCAATCTGGCGAGCGCAAAAAAATGCAAGCTGCAACTTGACAGGTGTCTGCCCGAAATCGACGCTCGCCTCGTGGATGGGACGCCTCTGGCGATAACGGAAGAAACACGGACGGTCAGGATCGAATGCGGCGACGATTTCGGCTTCAGCATGAAGTTTCTCGCGACAACATTGGACGGCTGCGACGTACTGCTCGGACGTGATTGGCTGCGACGACACAACCCCGTCATCGACTGGACAACGGGATCGTGCAGCATCAACAAGCACGAGGGGCTAATTAAGTTGCCTGCATGGACACCTGACTACATCCAAGCCCCGTGCGTCAAAGCTATCACTATAGCTCGCCACTTCAACAAGGGCGCGCAGCTGTTCGCTGTTTGCTTACGCGAGTTGGCGGTTGACACCGACGGAAAAGACATCGAGAAGCTGTGTGCAGCTGTACCACCGGATTTAGCAGAGCTGATTCGGAGGTACTCGGACATTTTCCCCGACGATCTGCCACCTGGACTGCCACCTGAGAGACCTGAGGACCACAAAATACAGCTGGAACCTGGCGCGCAGCCGACTGTTCGGACACAGTGGCGGTTGACCCAGCCGGAACTCGAGGAGCTGCGAAGTCAAATTGACGCACTGTTGGAGAAAGGGTTCATTCGGGCCAGCACATCTCCCTTCGCAGCACCGATCTTGTTCACTCCGAAGAAGGACGGCGGGCTTCGCATGTGCATCGACTATCGTGCGTTGAACCGGGTCACCATCAAGTCTCGCTATCCAATCCCACGCACCGACGACCTCCTCGACCAACTTCGCGGCGCTCGCTATTTCTTGAAGATTGACTTACGTGGCGGTTACCACCAGATTCGAGTCTTCGCCGACGACTGTCACAAGACTGCGTTTCGCACACGCTACGGGAGTTACGAATTTACAGTGATGCCTTTCGGCCTCACGAACGCGCCTTCGACATTTCAACTCACCATGAACAGGGTTTTTCGGGATCTCCTAGACCGCTGCGTCATCGTCTACTTGGACGATATCCTGATATTTAGCAAGACACGGGAACAACACCTCCGCGACCTGGATGCAGTGTTTAAGCGACTGCAGGAGAACCGACTCATCACCAAGGGCTCTAAGTGCGAGTTTTTTAAGCAGGAGTTGGAGTTTTTGGGACACGTCATCTCGCGCGAAGGCATTAAAATCGACCCGGCGAAAATCAAGACCATCCAGGAGTGGAAGTCCCCGACGAATGTCACGGAACTCCAGAGTTTTCTCGGATTCGTGAATTACGTCAGGCGATTTATCCCGAATATGGCGGGGATAACCGGCCCGCTGACCGACCTGCTGCACAAGGACAAGAATTTTGTGTGGGGGGAGGAGGCAGAAGCGGCTTTCCAGGAACTCAAGAATTTTCTGGTTTCCCCTCCTGTGCTGCGCATCGCCGACCCATCGAAGCCGTTCGAAGTCGTAACCGACGCCTCAGATTTCGCCATCGGAGCTGTGCTTCTCCAAGACTTCGGGAATGGATTGCAGCCGATCGCCTACGAGTCACGCAAGCTGCAGGCAGCCGAACGCAACTACCCGATTCACGACAAGGAGATGCTCGCCATCATACACGCGTTCAAATTATGGCGATGCTACCTGGTGGGCGCCGACGTCACTGTTCGCACAGACCATAAGTCCCTACAGTACCTGCGAGCCCAACCCAACCTCAACCCACGACAGATTCGGTGGCTGGATTTCATGGAGAGCCACTTCACCTACCGCATCACGTACAAAAAGGGGGCGAATAACATCGCCGACGCCCTGACCCGACCTACAGTACAATCCGCTGCAGTACTCATGACCCATTCGAACCCG